TCCTATTGTGTATCAGGGATCCTCTTCAATAAGATATTTATAAACATTCATGCCATGTCCAAATGTTAGCAAGGCCTGTTCATCCTTAATATTCATTTTATAACTTTTTAAAGACTTTTCTTTTAAAATTTCTAAATTGGCTTTTGGTGTTTACTAAATGTCGAGTAATTTGGATATTTTGAAGCCTAAAAAGAAACCAAGCATAATTGCAGGGTGAAATTCAAAAGACAATTCCAACCCTTGGACCCCCCCCCCCCATAATGTTTCATTGTGGTGACTAAATGATAGATATAGCAGCTTTTTATGATTTGGATTAGAAATTCCTTTGTGCACCCTTCTTTCCTGCTTTTCATCAAGTGATAAAATTACTGTATGGAGTAGATTACAGGGAATGTTGGGTTCTTGACTGTATCAAAGCAATACATAAAAACCTGGTTATCTCTGGTTGCCACCAAATTTTTTAGAGCATGATTCACTGCAGTAACTGCTTACCCTTATAGTCATGGCTCTTGCTTTACCAGCATTCATCTTCTCAGCCTCCAAATTAATATTAAAATTAAATTAACATTTAAACTATTTGTAGGTGTTTTGTTTTTTGTTTTTTTTTTTACACTGCTTGTTAAAGTTTGCAATAGCAAACCTCATTAAATATGCATTCCATTTAGAACCTGAAATATTTTATCACTTATTAAATAAAGTAATAAAGCATCCCTTTTTTTTTCTTTTTTTTCTTTTTTTTCTTTTTTTTTTTTTTCTTTTTCTTTTTTTTTTTTTTTTCTTCTTCTCTCCATAAATTGGATTAGTATATTTTCTTTTTGTTGCCTGTCTTCAAATGTGTGCTTCCTGTAGTGATCTTTGTATCACCAAGGGTTAGTCATGTTTGTAAATATTGTTTGGTGTGTGCATGGGGGGGGGTGATCAGCTGGAAGTTTGGAGTTAAAAAGATGGGGATAAGGATGCAAGTTTGGACAATTCATGAAATCATGACTCTGTTTATCTTTTTATCTGCCGAGATTTTGGTGTAAATTGGATTCAAAATGAATGGCATGTGAGGAAAATCTGTGGGTGCCAGTTACTGTCTGGCAGAGGATGTCTTGTTTTCTGAAACATTAAAAGGGATTCCTTTTGTAGATTTCACTTGATTCTTTTTGGCTCCAAAGTTGACTTGAGTTGGTTTTAAAAAAATAAAGCTACTTTGAGATCTGTCATTCTCTTTGAATGTGTTAGTGTCTATATGTGGAAGAGAGGTACATGCTTTACCAAATGTTTCCTGGTTTGTCATTTCATCACCCACGCCGCCATCACAATGACATAGTTGCTGGCTGCTCAACCTCATGTATGGTGGTAGCCATTGAATCATGTTTTTCTGCTTAAGTGACTCCCCCCCCTATTTTGCTTGTGTATATGTTTCATTTCTGTTTGCGGAAGTAGGTTTTTCTTTTTAAAATTATTTACTGTTACAAACTTGGAATGATGCTCATCAAGCCTCTGGTTGTTTATACAGCTAAGAGGATTGGCTTTTTTGCTTGGCTTCTCCAACTGCAGCTATTTCCTGAGTCACCCTCGACATTCTATTTACCTACTGATGTGCAACCACAGGACATTGATGATCATTATGAATATGATGAATGTAAATTTTCAAAAGGATAGAATCCAGGTAGAACTTTATGTCCAGGACAGAGTAAGAATATAATATAAAAGGCTCAAACACTAATATTCCATAGTTATAATTTATTACCTTGGAATCGTAATCATGATATATAATCCCCCCCCTTTTTTTTTTATCACTAAAGATCAGCAATATTCCCAAATCAGCCAGCACTAATTCAAAATATATATACACTTCTTGAAACTTTATTTGAAGAAAATTAGTTGATTTTAAAGTTTAATTAATCTTATTTGGAACCAACATTACTTTTAATTTGAAATATTGCAGAAAAGCATATTTTAACACATTGGTGGGTGTTGACAATTCTTTCTAGATTTGTTTGTGAATTTTTGTGGAGATTAGTTGTAACAATTACTTGACGAATACAGGTGCGATGGGTAAATTGTCACCATTTTATATTTTTAATTTCATTCATGTGCATTATTTTTGATTTGTCAGCTACACAGTATAGTAGGGTCAGTTGGGCACTCTGAGAAAAAGACCACCATGATGTCATTCACTCTGCCAGAAATTTGGAAGCGGCATCCTGTACTACTTGGCATTCACATTGGAAACTCCAATATTGTTATGGAGTAGTTTCACAGTGGAATCTTGTATTTGTACTAAGTCTGTCCTAAAATAGGTTCGACGTACAAAACGTTAGGAACTTGATAAAATAGGTATAACACAGAGTAAATCTAGTTGTGGTCGCTGATAGTTTAGTATTCGACTGTCGTCCGGCATCGACTGACTGACTGACAGACTCCTACTTATTATAGGTGGGAGAGTCTATTAACTATAGAATAGGTGTGTTCCACTATAACAAATATGAACATTTCGGAGTGTTTGGCTGTTGATCTAAGGACAGTGCAGAGGATTTGGAAAGAGCTGGTTGAATCTAATGGTGATTACAAAAGGTATAACAGATTGGAAAATCACACTGTTTTGATAAAAGAACTCCCAAATTTGTTGGTGAGGGCCTCACCCAACACAGAGGTCTACATTAAGTACCTTGATGAGGTAGTGCTGCTCTAGGTCAAGAGTGGCTTCTGGAAGACTGTCTGGCAACAATTCTACACCATGCCACACAAACAGGAGACCCAGTCAGCTGTCAGACAATTTCTGCAACCACATCACCCCATACATCTGGCCATCTAACTCCAAGACTGCAACCCCGTTGATTATTATTGTGTGAGGCTAAGGTTGAGCAAGAGATCAACAAAACTTTGTAATACCAAAGATAAACTGAAGGCAAGGATTATGTCGACATTCACCAACTTAGACGAGTTGCATGAGATTGAAGCCAATTGTGTGTGTGTTTTTTTTTTTTTTATTAAATTTACTCTAGTATTTCAAGATATTTTTGTGGAATTTTGGTAAATATCTTATTTTCATTTTTGCATAATTTTGACAATTTATCCATCGCACCTTTTGTATCATAAATGCCTTTTTTATTTATATATAATTTTGACCTTTAGGTACTTTGGCTTAGTTTTACTTACAAAGACACTGGGTGGAGAAATGTTAAAAAATTACTAATTTAAAATTTACTATAGTTACTGCTATTATTTTCTGATAATGTCATGTATGTATATCCATATTTACAAACAGATTGGCATGTTTATAAAACATTCAGAATTCTTTTAAAGCTACTGAGGATTGCTGCATTTAAAAAAAAAAAAAATTAAAAAAATTTTTTTTAATTGCTGGGAAGAAAAGCAGTTTTAACCTAGTCAATGAGAATAATTCTAGAATTTCTCCCCTCTCACCCCAAATCTCGCACTTGTCTATTAAGATGGAATCTAAACGTATTTAAAGGTCATATAGCATTTTATTGCTGGTCATGTTTTCCTTAAGACTTCATGACCCTTTCATTCTTGCTTGTAATTTTGATTTGGCATCAAAAAATGTTTGAATTTTCTATGCACTTTATAACTCATTTCATTGTACTGTTTGTTCATTTTGGAAGATTGTTAAAGAAACAAGACTAGTACAAATATTTATATTTTGAAATACACAAAAAACTATTTTCTGGTAGTAAAATTCTTTGCAGCAGATCCACTTTTCTAACTGGACAATCTTGTATGACAAGAAATGATCTGTTTATTAGCTGAACACTATTATGACTTTTGTTTTTCAATAAACCTGAAAACCTGTTGATCATAAATCAAGCAAACTTTCTTTCCTTTAGATTCTTTGAATGTGCATGAAGTTAGCAAAAAGAAACTTTATAATGCATTAGCAATTGCTAATATATAGAAAAGGAAATGGTTTTTCTCTTTGAATGTTGCATATTTAAAAAAACAATTTGTAGGTTAATTAGACTGTCTTTTTAAAAAAAAAAAAAAAAAAATTATGTATTCGGCAACTTTCACAATGACAGTATTATTTTCTTTTTTCTTTTTTTTTTTTTTTTTTTTTAATCTTGGTTTATTTGCTTGACAAATCTCTTGTGTACTTTAATTCAATGCTCACTTAAGGTAAGAAACCATCAATTAGCATGCACTACTTTCATATCTACAGACTCTCTCCTTTTTAATATTTCATTGGATAATAGACATGTGTATTTTTATGATAATCCTTTCTAGTTCTCTAATTAGCTTTTTGATAAGTTGGAATTCATCAAGGAAGACACTGTATCTCCCCCTCCCCCTAGGCAAACTTAATGTAACTCTGTTGTGATGGTGATTCCTGTTATAATTATTTTTAAATTAATCATTTTAGCTGTCTTTTTTTTTTTTTTTTTCTGTAAAACATAATTCCTTTCTGCCATGCGATGATGGCTTAGGGGTAAGATTTCTGGCTGATATCAAATCAGTCGGGTTTCGATCCCAGCTTGAAGCAATCAGGCATCTAGCCATACTAAGGAGCTGTGATATATGAATATATCTTAGGATACAGATTAGAATTTTTTTCTTTGGCTAATTTGTCTATGGAAGAGTTGTTACAATCTAAATTTTACTATTTGCAATCCAACACTACTGGCTTGCTCTTTAACTATAATAGTGATGCGTAAAGTCTGTTATTAATATGAAGGGACAAATTTGTAAATGTCTGCTTTTTTTTTTTCTTTTCTTTTCTCTTTTCCCAAAAAGAAACAGGATATTGTACAGCTTTGATTTGGATTTTTAACTTGTTAATTCCCTTTGGTTGGGTACCTTTCCTCTAAATGTTAGGAAGCAAAAAACAGATCAAGACATACAGATTTGTATCTATTCAATGAAGGCTTTAAGATTGATGTTCAATGTTAATAATACATTTTCAAAAAACTAGGCAACTTCTTAATTATTCTTGTTCTCTTTTCTAGATGTTTCACAAAAGTAAGGCTTAAAACTTTCTTTCTTTTCTTTAGGGAATTCTTTGAGCGTATTATCCTTTGCAACAGCCTCCTCTGGTCATGTGAAATCACTGGCAAATGGGGCCTCACCTACCAAGAAGCTGTGGAAAATGAAGAAAGAGCCCGGAGGAACTTGGCTACATTCCCAGAATATTTGCAGCGGCCAATTCTCTACTTGGCTACCCTCACCCATCGCAGTCGGATGGCTGGGATGAATGATGATGTCTTTGTTTTTGCCAAAGATCGATATTTCATTGGAGAAATTGTTGATGTTGTGCATGATGGGATAAGGTAGGTATTTTGAGAAAACCTTTTCACTCTTTGTGACAAAGTTCAATTCCTCTATCTTTCTAGTGATATGTCTCCTGTTACTAACTCCTATTTTAAAGGAGGAGACATAAGATCTGATTCATGGTGTATTATTGTTATTCTGACTCTTAATCAATGAATTGTTTTGATTTGAAGGCAAACTTGAAAAATTGATCTGAGTAGCCTTCAGGGTATTTTGAACTGGATATGAGATATATATATATATATATATATATATGAGTATAGATTGTTCTTGTTCTGATGTCCATGTCTAGGACTATCTCATCTTTTTAGTACTGCTCAACTTGCACTGTTTCCATGGAGTCTATGCTTCCTGGCCCAGAGATTGGAATCACAATTACTAAGTTCGAGATTGTCCCATGAGATAATAGCCTAGGGAATTAAAATGTTAGTTCATGTATTTGATGGCATGGTAATTGAGTTCAATCCCTGGGCTGGTTAATACTGTTTAGAGGAAAAGGTGAGCAATAAGTGGGCAGTATTATGAACAAGACAAGATATCCTTAAACATGGAAAACAGAATGCAAACGGTCTACATAGCCATAATTAAGTACTCCTTTTAAAAATTCTGTAAAGGTTACTCAGTTCTTGAGACACCTTCAAGCCAGAGAGCATGATAGCTGAAGTCTTCTAACATACATGAGAACATTAGACCAAATGTAAATAACTTAACATCTGGAAAATTCAGACAAATTGAAATGTGATTTATTTATTTTTTAAGACCTGATAAATATTAATAATCCAGTTGACTTGTCTTTTTTACACTCTTTGTCAATCACTTTGGAGTAAGAACTTCAACACCCCTCTCATCTGTGTGTCCCAGCCTAATCATCGAATAAAATTTCCTGATTGTTACACTATGTAATACATGCAACAATGTAACACACATTAGTAAATATATAGGTGTGCCAGATGGATAAAGAAACACATTGTAAAAAGATGAATCGATAAAGAAATAATGCATTGTATATTCTACAATGTAACATCTCTACTCTATTCCAAATATAAGATTGGGTCAAGTTTATTAGATTCATGACTTTGTAAGTTCTGCAATGTCCCTGTCAATGTCACTTAGTTCTTTTCTGATGTCTCAACTTTAAACCCTTCTAAGACTTCAATTTGTTCAGTTTCTATGTGTGTTTGTGAGAGAGAGAGAGAGATACACACACACTTTTTCTGGTTCCATTTCAAACATTTCTGAAATTGCTACCCCATATGTTAACATATGGGGTAGCAATATATCAATATTTAAAACAAAAAAAAACAAAAAAAAAAAAAAAACCTCCTTTGACTATAATGGTATCATACTTGCTATTGTGCTACAAGAGAAGTTTTGTTTAAATTTTCTACCAACATATCTCCATTTACAGAAAAGCCTTGGCCATGCAAAAGAATAGAGATCGGCAGGTATACATCTCACAATTCAAGGAATTCTTCCTTTTGAGTCCATGTTGTAATGGAATGCATCCAAATGATTCTTGTTCCAATCAAATCCATTGAATAATTTCAATCATCCCTCAGAAGCTTTGAAACACAACTGCAAATATTGTACTTTAGCTTTTGTCAGCAAAACCACTGACAACGTCTATCGGATAATATTTCAGTGAGGTATTCAATTTCTTTTCTGAAATTTAATCTGGAGTTTGCAATTGCACCTGGTATAAAACCTGATATAGCTAAGAATATCTTCTCTTTGAGAGGACTTCTCTCCAAGATTATGGTAACGTGTTGCTACAAGGTGATTACAACACTCCTTTCTGAATGCTAATTTTTCCTCTGTCAGGCTACAATGTCCACATCATTTGGCTCACAATGAAGCTTCTTGGAAGAAATTCCACTTTTTAACTTTTTGGGGGGTTGTTGCTTCTTCCATAATATTTGCCTTAAAACACTCCATCAAAACATGTAAAGATGTTGAATATTTCAGCATCCCAAAATGAAGCCATTGATGCAGCTGTTTGGGACCTACAAAAGAAAATGGCTCAAGAACAAATGCAGCAAAGCTGATGAATGCAATGTTGGTTGGGTTATTGTATTGTTTCTTGACATTTGATCTGTATGTTATCTCATCTGAGCAAATACTTTTAATGTTCTCTGACATAAATCAATATTCTCCACCAGGAAGAGATTCACTCCTGGTTAAATCAATATAATCTGGATGTCTTTGAAAACTTTGTATAAAGCTTTTTACTAGATGAACTTTTCCTCCTTACTGTTGTGTAGCCCATTTAAAAATCTTCATTGATAACATGAAGGCCACTGAAACAAAGAAAAAGGATTGCTGCTGTATTGAGTTCATTGTGGTTATTTGATATTAACTGTTTCAGAAAAGACCAGTTAACATTCAAGCCATCCATCAAAATCTTTTCAGAGGTTGGCCTTTCATCTTGCTTGTAACTTCTAGAAAGTTTTCCTTTTCCATATCTTCAGCTGTTGATTGACCCATAAATGCTGATGACAAATAACGTGAACAAACCTGATTAATTGTATTGCCCCAAAATCTAATAGTAGCCATTTGTCCCCTCCTCCTTTTCCTTCTCATTAAAATCCCTTAAACAATTGACAATTTTGAAGTCTTTCAAAAGCTATTCATGAAAATCAAATGACAAACCATGTGATCAAATAAACCAACTTTGTAGAACTAAGTGATTTATTTTTTTCTCTCCTTCCTCTTTTTCTATGGCAGTATCCAAAAACATAAACTTAATAGTTAAAGGCTAGTATAAAGTGATTTGCAACTACATTTAAAACCCATGATTTTCTCCAGTTTTTGTGATTGTGTGTACATGATATTGTAGCATGACATTCTTTGCTAGTAGAAACTGGAAATTGAGCTAGACTCTGAGTATTACAGTACACTCAGCTGGGTCTGACATATAACTAATTTTATCATGAGTATACTTTAAATAATGATGCAACCTTCCATGTTTTTCCCATTTCCATGTGCTTGTCTTCTCATTTTATTCAGTGAAGTTATCTTAATTTTACTAGGCTTTTCACTGAAGCAAATTAAGGATTGATGCATTCGTCCATTCATTTGGACTTAAAAGGAGTAGACATTTTTATTAATCCTAAAAAAATAAAAAAACACATATCACATAAACAACATTTAGTGTTTATTTTGGTCTTTAAAATAAACATGTCATTTGATGTATGCTAAGTCACATTAAAAAGGAAACACCCAGTTCCTTGTGCATCCCTCCTCCCCACATAAACACAAATTTATTAGCCATTTTGCTCTTAACTCTCTGCAATAATAATCAACTGGAGACTTCCAGTGGACTGGGTTACTCAACCTGAAGGTATTTCTAAATCTCCCTCTTCCCTACACCTGCAAGGTTATACTGCTTTTAATCAGAACCTGGCACCTTTTTGCTGTGATGCATTTACCTAGTTTCAACCTTTTTATCAGGTTGAGTGTCATGATGATTATATTGGGTTTACTTATATTTTTCTCTCTCTGTCTCTCTCTCTCTCTCTCTCTCAAAATTATCCCTTCAACTGACAGTCCCACTTGATTTGTTGAATGTCTTTTCTTTCTCTTTGAAATCTTTTCATATAAGAAATTAGATTTTATAAAAAAAAAAGAATTCAATTACTGGCTCAATGACAACCTACAATCCTTTCTCATTTTTGTGTTTGACTAAGTTTTTTAATAATTCCCTGAAATCAAATCTTTTTCAAATGGTTGAATTTTTCTTCCAAATTGACAACTTTATATTTTGTTTTCTGATTAATTTATGATTTAGATTTTGGTAACTGACTTTCTTGAGGGTTTGTTGACCTCCTTTTAACATTGAAGGAAACAAAATAACTTTGACCTTCTTCTGCTGTAAAACCTACATTGAAATCAAAAGTGAACTTATTGAATATTTGGGATATGACAATAAATCATTTCTCTTTTGACATAATTTATATTACAGGAAACCCTACAAAATCATCAAGGTTGTGCCTCCAACAGAAGAAGAAATCCAACGACATGCCCTCAATGGTGATGCTGAGGATGCACAAGATGAAGGAGCAAGGTGAGATTGGTCATTTCATTCTTTATATTACCAATTCTCAATTCTACAATTGGGTTGAAGGTATTAGAATCACTTGCATTATGTTGCTACTTTGTTCATGTGGTCTGAGTAGCCACACACACACACACACAAGCTCCCTGATTTATGCTCTGGAGAAGTTACTCCAGTCTCACCACAAGAGGATGCAGTTTTGACCAAACTGGGCACTATTATTATCTTGTGAGACAAATAAATATCTCCTAATTTGGTCAACTTTTAATAGTGGCATCATGTGCCTGCCTTTTTGTTTGTTAAAATTGAGTAAAACTGCTTTTCTCACCCAAGCAGAAAAGTGGGGGTCAGATTTGTTGATATTTAAAAGAAAAAGAATTAGGCACAATGAGGCTTAATTATTATTGCTTCTAAATGAGAGAATGTCTTGAGTTTTCCTTCATTGGTTTCTGCACTGAAAAGTGTGTTCCCCCACCTTTCTTTCTTTTTTTTTTTTTTTTTTTTTTTTTTTTTTTTTACACTTACCATTTTTAAAAAAGAAAACCTGCATTTGCCACACACAATTCCTCTGCCCCTAATAGTTGTTACATTTATATATGCACTTCATAACAACTGTTATGGGGTGCTCTTAGGCTGATTGGGTATGTGTATTCTCCCAAGTATCAGTTCTAAATTCTGTTGTAATTAAGACAATTGCCTGTTTGAATTTTAACAAGTGTAATCACTTCAGTATAAGTCGGCTTTCAACTCTGTCAGCCTCTTTAAAGGTACTAAATTGTGTGGGTATAGTTTTTCCTAAAAAAGAATAAAAAAATTATTAAACCTAAACAGCTATTTTATGCAAATCTGATGGCTTTTAGTTGGTCAAAAATTAATTTACCTAATATTTTTACTTTATGAAGAAAACTTCTTTTTGTAGTGACAAAAGCCGCAATGTTGGTGTGGATGCTTCTTTGTACACATACAAAGTCCAAGATACCATGAATGGAGAAGTCTTAGTTGTCAAACCTGTACAGATAAGGTAAGCTTTTCTTGTTGCTTCTTAATTTTCTTGGGCACATTCATCACATGTGTAATTTCCTATTAGGGATCATCCCCCTGTTGTCTCATTTTATCTTTTATTAATTTTTCTTTCTTTCTCCAGCCGTAAGAAAGGCTTGTACACACGGGACAAAAGCAAATTGTTTTTAAAACACAATTGTTATGTTGTGGATGGTGTCTGGAGAGTCAAGGTAGGTTAATTTTATATTTTCATTGAACAAAAACTTGTTGATTCTATGTCAAAGTCCATCAGTGAGAGTTGGTTGATGCTGTTTGCTGATGAAAATGTTTTTGGTTTTCATTGCTAGTTTTATTCGTGGTTGACCTTGCATATGAGCCATATTTTTGATCTCTATCCAATCTTCTCCTTTTTCTCCCTCAAGGTTGCTTGGTGCTGGTTACAGAAATGCACTTACCTGTATAGTTTCTTATCTAAAAATCTATGAGCAAGATATTTAGTGGGCCAATTGTATGCACATGCTTTGATCTCTGGTCCTATTTTATTGATTGATATGATTTTTAAACTCTCAAGGATTTCAGCTCTATTTCACCAATGTACCTCAGTCTTGGACATGGGAATTGTTTTACAAGAATTATCAAAGAATCTCTAATTAGGTATTGCACAATTAAGTGGCGAATAATTTTGATGTGGCTTAGATTGGGGTATGCCATTTGGTCGTATGTGAATCTTGTGTCTGGATGGGTAGTATCAATGATACTTGAAGCCATTTTTGTTTTTCCTCTCTCTTTCATGTGTTTATATATACACACGCTTCATTTCTATGCTGCAAACAAATAACTAAAGAAAAAAAAAACACTTGGCAAGAAGATTGACTTCCTTATATTCTCTTAAACAATGAGTGAGGTGCCATGTCTTTTATTGGTTAATCTGCTTCTTACTGGGATTCCACTACTAATTGACTCTTTAGTCTATGGATGTGCAGAAGCTAATTGATAGTTCTGTATTTCATTGGTTTCACCTTTTCTACTGATCTCTTTTCAGGAAAGTATTGTGAGGTCATTGAAGCTGAATGAAATGAAGTTTGAGAGCTTTTTTGCTGGTGCCAAACCACTTTTTACAAAGACTCTGGTGAAAAGCAAAAAGAATTCATTTTCCAATCAAAATTTGAGCATGGTCTCACAGAGTGCCTCAGACAGTAGTATCAATGACTTCTCTCCTCTCAGGAGTCTGGATGGCAAAAAAAATCATCTCAAGGATAGAAAGTGTAAGTTTTTCTTTTTTTATATCAGCATGTTTAATATATACTGTTATACATTATGAAATGGAAAGTCTGGCAATTATTTTAAGACATTTTTATGTCTATACATTCTTTTTATAGATACAAGTAACTGCTCTGTTTATAATAAACAGTATTAAACAACATTTACCAGCCTGAATGTCAGAAATTTTCACAATGATGGTTCCATATAGGATACAGGTTCGTATCCTGTCGGAGGACGAATATTTTCTGTGGAAATTTCTCGGACATTCAGGCCGGTAAATGTTGTTTAATACTGTTTATTATAAACAGAGCATTTACTTAAATATTTGTATCTATAAAAATGTATAAACATAAAAATGTCTTAAAATATACTGTTATCTTAGAACATCAAAAGGTTTTATGTTAATCTTTCTCCTTCCAAATTTCTCATAATGTTAGGTTAAAATCAAAACTGCAGATCAGGATGCAGTTTTATATCTGTATGCATTGATACAGATTGCTTATTGCTTTGCATAGGTTCCACATCCCCACAGACATTTAATCGTTATTCACATTGAACAAGTGTCAGAAGATAGCTCTCAATATTTGAGGTCAGGCCATTGAGCTTAAAGCTGCAGAATGTCAGGGTTGTTGTCTTCAGTGTAGATTCTGACTTAGCTAGCTGGTAAGGTATGTGTAGTGATACTGAAAACATGTAATCAACTTGTGAAACTTTGCCTGTGTGGTAACAACCTTAACCAGCATTTTGTTTAAAACTTACTATCTTTAATTATGATACAAATGGACTTAGTATTTTCAAATATATGGAAAATGGGTCTTAAAAAAAAAATCTGACATAACTTTACTTACTGACAAATAAAATCAAATTAACTTCAAATAGTGGATTTAAGTGAAGTGATATGATGACTTTATTTAATTTTTACCTCTTGCAGACTTTAAAAGTGAAGAGCTAGCCATGACTCCCGAAGAGCGGGAGGCTTTGAAGGAACGCATGAAGCAAGAAAAAATTGCTGAACGTAATGCGCGAAGAGAGGAAATAAAGAAGAGGCTTGATGAAGAAAAAGAAAAGAGGAAACAAGAAAGGGAAAAGGTGACCATTTTGCAATTGAATACAAATATTTAGCTTGCAGAAACCTCAGTGTGTGGGTGTGTATGACACTTTGACATTGAATCTTCCCTTAAAATGGGTGTAGAACAATTTTATTTTTTTTCTTTACAGGAGAGAGAAAAGAAACGAGAGGAGAAACGAATTCAGGCAGAGTATTTAAAGGAATGGAGCCGGCCTCGTGATGACTTGGAGTGTGAAGATCTCCAGGTTGGTTATCTTTCTCTTTTAACCTGTGAGAATAACATTAGTGAAACTCTGTTTCTGTACAATTTCTTTTTCAAAGAGGCAAGGAATACAAGAGCTTTGGCATGGTTCCTAAATGCTATACAATCTGTTTGGTAGACCAAGTCACTGTTGGTACATGTAGAATCATGCAGTACTGTGTTTTAAAAACAAAACTCACTGTCAACGGTTTGTGTTAAATTCCTGCCTATGATTAATGGATCCCAAATGTGTATATGTCTTGAAATTCTCTTATCCAAATTTTCCTCTTCATTTAAGACTGTCCCAAACGCTTATTTTAAAAGTAGAATAGTCTTGTATAGCAAGTTTTGACTTTTAAATTTCTTTTTATCTTTTGTGTCTCATTCATATATTGGATTTGTAGCATTTTTCAAAGTGATCTTTGAAGACATGATTCCTTTTCACTGGAGACAAAATCCTATAATGGAATATCCTGCTATATGGTGCCATGCTGGAATGTGAATGTTTCATTAAAAAGGATATTGGAGGAAAACAGGATACATTTTTGTCACTTGATGTAGAAAGGTTGGACAAACAGTAAAAAAGATGTGCTATTTATGGAGATGGTGCCACAGCTGAGAAGACTGTCCATAAATGGTTTACTAGGTTCAAAAGTAAAAATTTTGAATCTGAAGATGGAATATTCTGGCAAGCCTGCAATTGTTGTTTATGCTTATTAATAATTTTGGTCACACATGGGATAGTACAGATAGCCCACATATCTCATGAGTGTCATTACAAGACACTTGGATACTTTAAATTACTACAAAGTTTTGGTGCCATAATTTAACAGAAAAATGAACAGGCAGCCTTTCTGTCTCTTGAAAAGAGTGAAGATGACAGAATGATCCACTGTCCCCCCCCCCTTGGATTACCACTTATTTTTTGATCTTTTCAAAGAGAAGAACTTCAATTCTTTGGAAGCCTGTAAAACCAGCTTGGACCAATTCATAACCCAGAAAGATGCCAAGTTCTGGAAGAATGAAATCCTGAAGCTACATTTAATGACAAACGCTAGAACAAATATATAAATAGTGGAACATAGAAAAAAAACACTGAACTTTTCTTGCAATCCAATATATAACGCATTTGAGAGAGAACAGAAATACATTGTTGGTCTAGAAAAGTTCTAGTAGATAAGGCATGTTAAAAATTACAATTTTCTTGTGGGGGGAAAATATGCAACAATCTTCAATATTATTGTTGAAGATTGTTGCATATTTTCCCCACATGTACCAATCTCTTAATTACTTTATTAAAATGTCTTAATATGTAAGTTAGTGTGACAAAAGGTTTAGTTGTTGCTGTTGTTGTTTTTCAGGAAATGCCAGACCTGCTTCCTGTTCAATCACGGATTCCCCAAGATGATTTTGGGGATGCTCTGATGGTGCTAGAATTTATTCATACATTCCAAAGTCTTTTTGATGTCACAGAATATTTTCCCTCTGGAATGACACTAGGTAAGATTAACTGCTAAGCATTTGTACTATGTACACATTTGTATATATAAAAGCAATTAATGGGTTTTTAATCCAACATTTATGCCACTTTTAGTATTTAAGTAGACAACTTCTGTGCAGAGAAGGATGTTATACCAGGGATTTCTGCTCAGACACATGTACCCATGGATAGTAATAAGGAATATAATGTTAAGACTTTGAAAAACACCAAGGGTCTAACTCGCACACGCATGCAATGACCGACAGTCTATGCAAGTGCTAAAATAAACAATTCTTTTTATGTGTAACTCTCCCCAACTGAATGGCTAATGCTAGTTTTTAGCTTACTTTCCAGTGTAAAATTTTTAATCATTGTGCAATTGATATACCAGAAAACTCACTAGTTATCTTTTTTTTTTTCCTTCCAGGAGTGTTAGAAGAAGCTTTGTTGGATAATGATGTAAATGGACCGTTGACAGACCTACTGTTGATGTTGATGGTTGCTATCTTTTATTTGCAAGAGTCCGAGGAGGAAGAGGATGACCCTGATGTTAGCAAAGGTAAGCTTCATACCTCTCTAAAAATAAAAAGCAACTAAGTCAGCTTTCAACCTGTGGCTGGTTGAATCCTTAGTCATATGTCCAAGAAAAGAACAAAAAAAAAAATTTTTTGCCAAGTTAGCACCAAAGTTTAGTAAGAGATTTTGAATTTCTGGGTTCACATCCTCGTATAACCATTTTGAAATCATGATGGAGCTGGCTAAAGGCATTAGTAATTTCTTAAAATTTTTATAAAACCAGGCTGTAAGAAATTGATATTATGAGCAATCAATGTTTCATTGTGAATAAGTTTCAATAAAATTTAAGAATTGAAGTAAGAATTTGTCTACTTTATGCATTAATCAGATATATAGGTTTGCCAGGCAATTACAAAAATGCAAAAGAAAAAATATCAATGTGAAATTGTTCCAATTAGTAAAATAAATGAGATCTCTTTTTTGCCTTATTACTAAAAAAAAAAGTTTACTACATTCACCCAACCCCTACCCCCACCCAATAGCAATCAAGAAGTGTGTTAAAGTGGGTGAGCATCTAATTCTTGAGCTGTCACAAAGATTCTCCTAATGGTTTTGAAATCTTGAACAGGTTAAAGTTCAGACCCTCTATTTTGAATAAGAGGATCCAGGCTTGACCTCTTCCCTTTGATCCTTAGGTGTCATTGGTATTTTTCTCATCAAGGAACTGAACATGCTCTGGATTGGCTTGAAGTTTTACCTCTTCTGCAAAAAGGTTGTATTTGTAGTTGATCTATGCAGCTGTAGGAAGTTATGCAGTGTACAGCAAATACCTTTTTATTGAATGAAAACCCTCAAGATTTTTCTACTAGTATTATATTTGTTGAGACTGGGGTAGTAAATGTCCCTTAAAATTTAACTTCAACACTTTCAAAGGCCCATGTAGCTTGAATGCAAAAAAAACTGAGGTTTCAGTTTATAAAAGTTGCAAGTTGGGATATGGGAACATATCAAATGCATCCTGTGAGAGACGCCTGTATGGCAAATATCAAAACTTTGTCTTATTACTGCAAGTAGAACTACATCCGCCTGAGAACATATCATCTGCTTGGCAGGCCAAAATGTCATCATTATAGCATGCATGCCAAGCCAACATTGATACTATGGGCACCCATGTGAGTGGGGGTGGGGTTCTATCTTAATCTCAAGTGTTTCTATTATATGGCTAGCAGGGGGGACTTTTGAAGTCTGGCCTTCTAAGTAGTGTCCACTTTGACTGAGTGGCAAGTAAAGAAGTAGATGATTTTTTGCAACAAACCGGATGCTGATTATTTCTGGGTGCCAACTTATATTAATTTATGTTTGGGATCCAAGGGTCAGTTTTGGTCCACTTTTGTCAGTTGTGAGGTTCTGATACCACACATGCATGGGGATGTGCAGATTAATGAGGAGTTGGTAGTTGGTAGTGGGGAGGAGCCCATCTATGAGATCGATTTTATATTTGTCCAGTGTCACCTGCCTACCCACTCAGGTGAGCAGGCAAAGCCCTGAATAAAGCATCTACATATAATATGGGAAACAGGGTCTGTGTTCTTATTTCTTGGTGTGTGTTTGTTTTTCATTTGTTACCTTGTGAGCATGCAGCAGGCCCATTACCAGCAACATAGTTTGTAGCAGCACCCTTTTCTTAAAGTTAAATTGTATCCCTTGACTATAAGCAGACCAGAAACCCGATTGCAGAAATCAATTGTGGCCAGGTCACCTCCATCCACCAAAACTGATAGTAAGCTGGCACTTGACCAAATACTCTCTGGTTACCAGATGTGAACTTTAGGGGAGGCAGATGTGTGGTTTTATTGTCTAGTGTAACTAGAATGCCAACATTGAGTGCATACCTTCTGTCAGCTGTTCTGGTCAGTTTCACCTTTCCTGAAGGGAATCCTGCCTTTTAGATGACTATCATCTAGTAAAGTGGTTTATTGCAACCACCACATACCCACTGAAATGTTATTAGCAATAATTTATTGATAGGGAATATTACATTTACATGCATCTTCTATATCTGCAAAATAATGATTCTGAAGTATTTTGAGGCTTTTTTTTTTTTTTTTTCCCCTTCTCTGTACAGTTGCTTTGACAATCATAGTAGCAGCTGCCTTCTTGCCTCACAGTGTGACTGCTTCACCCCAGTTTTCCTCGTGTCCCCTCTGTCTACAGTGTATGTGAGCTCTTTGAGCAATATGAACTTTCTTAGGACTATCTTGGTATTTCATGGCAACTCTCAAAGTCAAATGCTTCTAAAGTTTATATAGTTGTCTCCCTCTTGGCACCCAGTTTGACATTTATGTAAAAATTTCCACTTTTTTGCTTGTACCTCTCATTGAAAAAGAAATCACCTTTATAAGCATATTATGAAGAATTTATTCCTCCCTGATTAGATATCAGTTTGGAAATCCAAGTAAAAATTAAGAAAACTACTTAATAGGAAATTCCAATTCCAACTTTTCATTTTTTTTTTTTTTTTTTTTTTTTTTTTTTGTATAGGTGACTATACACATTATCAGAAAATAAGATCAATGACTATAGCAAATTTTGAAGTCAACATTCCTCGAATTAGATTACAGAGAATATTTCCAACATTTTTAAGATTACTGAGTACTTACATTATTTTAAAAAAAAAAAAAAACATTCACCCATCTTTTTATATTGTTTTATCCTTTAGCACTATGTAGGTGACTTTTCACGAAATGTTAAATTTGAATTTCTTGCCTGTGTAGTCGTATCCTTTTATGGCAACACCTAAAATGATCTTGGCTGAAATTGAGAGCCATGCTACTGCAATTTCAAATATATGGAACTAATATATAAAACACTATATTTTGATGGGATTTCATTACAGGAAGTAATATTTATAAATGATGCAGAGTGCTAAATGTTAACAGAAGTATCTCTAGAACAATAATAAAACTGTTGGCACCTTTATCAGCACTTGTTAAGTCATTTATGAGTGATGACAAGTATGTAATCACTGCTACTGTTTGTTTTTAAAAATCCATTTCTGTTATTTTCTATTTAAAGTAAACTTTTTTTTTTTTTTTTTTTTTTTTTTTTTTTTTTTTTTTAAATGGGATTATACTTTAAATCAGCTAATATTCCTTAAATAAAGCTTCAGAAAAGTATATTTTATTTTTGGAAGATTTTTTAATGAACATTGCAATGACAGATGGCTAAAAAAAAAAAAAAGAATCCCACTCCAATCAATATAATCTGTTTGAATAACACTACAGAGTATTTTGCTTATTGGAACTAGTAAATTCAATCCTTTAACTTTGAATTAAATCTTTTTTGAAGCTTTCATTTTAGCTTTTTCATATTTAATTTAAACCTTAGGTATTGGGTTTTGTGGAGGTACCATATATTTTATTTGTATATATAGTATGAAACCTGTTAGTGATATCCATTAATTAGTGACTCTCTCTTTTTATATATATATATATATATATATATATATATATATATATAAGCACTTTACAAATATAATGGTTGGTTCCATGAATGGACAAGACTATCCTCCTCCACTAAGAAAAAAAAATCCCTGTTTACCACAAATTAGGAAAATGTTTAGATAATATTGCAGGAATAATGAGTTTTTGTTTATACTAATTGATTAAAAGCATAGAAAATAATATAATTGTCTAATATAATAAAGAGGCAGTCTCAACATTTTACAAAAACAGTCTATAAATACTTCAGGAAAAAAACCATGAATCTTAATTTTTCTCTCTCACAGAAGATGAAGAAAATATCTTTCACTATATAAGATATTACCTGTAGAAAGTTTTAATAAAATCAATTTACATTAATAGGAACACCAAATTAATAAAATGATTCATTATATGCAAAAGGACTAGATAACACAATTAATGCCAGGTGATTAAATAATGAATTGTGAATTTTGGGTCATACTCTTCCTCTGACAGCAACTACTTCATAGCCAAATGGAAAATGCCTTCCACAAACAGGTTTGCTATGTTAGGGGTTGTTGTTTTGTGGTATTGCCTTTTTAACCATTGTTCTGGCTCATACTGATGTTAGGCTAGACAATACCTTTGAGACATTTTTGGATACTGAAATTTAACAATATTAAACTCTTATTACAGGGTGATTCTAAAACATTTACAAACTTCAGATTCCAACTTGTGAAGGATTTGGACGAAGGAATATAGGATTCAGAATCAAAAATTTACAGCTTGTATGCATACCAGGCTAATGTATCTTTTAAAGGCTAATGTGTGAACTAGGAAACTCCATAACATACAAATTTGATTCAGACCTGGGAATTTTAGGGTTGAGAAATGAAATAGCATTGGTTAAGTAGAAATTTGAAACTTATATACCAACAGGTGCTTATCTCTCTAGACCAATTACAGTCCTCACTGGGTTCACCCCACCCCATACTTCAATCTTGTGCCATACCTGAGCTACAGAGTCTGAGATGAGGTATTATTATTTACATTATTTGGACTATGGTCCTCATCTTTGTCGCCATATTTATTACGTTTCGGCCTTCTTCAGGCTGTTGGAATGTCGAACTGAACCCTTTATTTCGCTCACTGCGGTAGACTGTTCTAGTTCCACGTGCCATGTTTGATCTTCAGGTAATTTCCCTCTGAAAGTTCTCCACTGCCTTAACTGGGTATTGAACTCGCTCTTTAGGTCATGTCACTGGATCTAACCAACGCCTTTATCCACTGTGTCCTTGAGGACATCTGGGTATGAATTTCTGGGTATTATAAACCAAATGTCTTCAGCAACCATTTTTACCAGTGCTCATATTGCAACTTTGTTATCATTGCTTTTCTCTGGTACTCCTTATTACTGGTTCCCATATTGTATTTATTTCTATGCTTGGTCATCTCAGATTTTTGTGGCCTAGCATATGTGCTGATTCCTTAAGTTTACCAATTTTCCAATGGTGTTCCTTGTCTATGATCTCATGATCCCACAGGGTGGTAATCTCTTTCCATATGTGGTCAGCCACGCCTGATTTTTCCACTTCCCCCTTGTGTTACAGCTTTCTGGTGTTCTTGAAGCCTTACCTTGAGGGGGCAGCCTGTCTCTCCTTTATGTTCCTTTCTGCAGCTGCACGGGATAGCATACACAGTCTTTAGCCATGTTCTCCTCTATGGTGGGGTCTTACTTAATTAAGGGTTCAGTTCGACATTCCGACCACCTGAAGAAGGCCGGAGCATACAATGGCCAAAACGTAATAAATATGGCAACAGGATGAGTACCATAGTCCGAATAATGTAAATGTACCTAAGCTACACTTAGAAAATCACCATACCAACAGAAGTTAATGCAGCTTTTGCCTTGTATCTTAAAGCAGCCAGAAGGGTGGAGTTGTGCAATAGGCACTAAAACTAGAAATAATCTTTTCTTTTTTTTTTTTTCTTTCTCTCTCTCTCCTTAATGTAAACTAACCATTATCAAATTTATCTAGAATGCTTGATGGGGATTCAGTTTATGTAAACACACACACACACACACACGACAACCAAAACAATATGAGCATAATGGGTGATTTCTTAAATAACAAAAATTAAAGATCTGTAGCTCTTTCTTGTATTTTTCAATTAGTCACTGTTTTGTTTTTTTTGTTTTTTAGAAATCACCTTTTCTGAGTATATTTTTTTTCTGTAGAGGGGGTTAATTTACAATCTTTTTTTTTTTTTTTATTTTACATGATAAATTGGAGACACACATTTGTGTGTATTTTATTTGAAATCTGAGTTGCTTAATCTATAACAATATGAGAAAAGAAAATTCTGGTCGTATTTGCTATTGAACAACTTCATTAGTTTTATGGTAGTTGTAATTTTGATTAGTGTTGCGAGTGACTTGCTGCTGCTAATACAACATATGACAGTGGTGTCATCGATAGGATACCCATTAGCCCTAGAGGACTCTGATTTTGTTTGTGCCTGGTTGAGATGCTATGATGCAAACACTAAAACGAAGAAGTTAAAAAGTTGATGCCAAGGTTTTTAAGTGGTCAATAAGGCCTGGGGGCAGCAACAACACTCTCCTTCTGCATAAAAAGTCAATGGTAATTAAATACCACAGGTGGGTGTGTTATCAGGATTGTAATATTAGAAATGAAAAATATATTTCTACACTGGGTTTTAATTGTTGGAGAGAATGGCTAAGGAAGCTATACAAGACCCAGTATTAAATAAACTGGAGAATTGGAAAGAACAGATGGGGTATTTGTTTTTAGCTGAAAGACCCTGACAAAGGGGAAAGATGTACAATGAAAGAAGGGAGTAATTTGCAAAAATGATATGGTGATCTCCACAACACAAAGAATCTTAAAGATCGTACGTGACTTACATTATCAAATAGTAGTGTCACACACACACACACACGCACACAGTGTGGTGGATGGGTTATTCAAGAGATGTGGAAGAATAAGTAAAAGGATGTCCCAGATGTAAAGAAATCTTATGTAAATGACTTGTATCTAAAGTGTTAGAGCTATGGCACAATGTTCGCATGAATCACACATGCACCAAGATTGCTTCTAAGTTACAGTACCATGCTGGAAGACTGGTAGAGAGAGAGAGAGCTGATCGGCACTGATGGGAAAAAATGAAAGTATGGATCAAGTTCAGAAAGTTCTTTTTTTTCTCTCTCACTCTCTCTCTCACACACACACACACACACACACACACACACACACACACACACACACACACAATAATCATAATACAGCCATAATAGAAAAACAAGGAAGCTGTATACTAGTCCATGGAGATCAAATAAGGTCCTGAGATGAGGATGTAGACGTGAACAAATGTCAAAGGACGTAATGATGAGCATAATGAAACTAATTGGGCTATACCAATACGAGTGGTAGCAGATGAAAATAGAAAATGAGGTGTACAAAAATCTAGATCTCTTAAAGTTAGGAAAGTTCTGAAGACCAGTTAAAAGAAGATAGCCAATAAAATAAAATCTGATATCTATGGAAGGGGAGGGAGAAGTAAAACCAGGAAATCCTGAAAATGGAACAGAATGTAGAAGCAAAAGATAAAAAAGATAAATAACTTTCTTTGTATTGTGCATATAGATTTTAATTTTTGTGGGGGTTGGTTTTAAACCAACCCCCACAAAAATTAAAATCTATACGCACAATACAAAGAAAGTTATTATGATTTTAAGACAGTAGGTGTTCATGTTTTTGCACACTCAAAAAAAAAAAAAAAATGCAGTGGCAAGGGGAACAATTCTAGAAAGAAATTACTGTGATAAAGGTTAAGCAGTACATTCTGCCTCTTGTAATTTACCAGTTAGTTTCTAAGCCATGTGAAGTTATTAGTCGGCTGACTTCAAATAACAATTGTCAAATCCCCTGTCATGTCTCAATTAATCACAGTCTCTCTGCATGTCTTTTGGGGACAATCTATATGGCTATTTAATTATTAGAAGTCCAGTGCTGCCAAAACCTTTTTGTTCTGAACCTTTTAACAGTAAAAGGTTTCACTTCACATATTCTCTTCCCATAGGAATACCTTCTTCAGCCCATCTGTTTAACACTTTTTAAAAACATTTAATATCTCCCAAGGGAGCACTTATTGTGACACCTTAATATTCTCCTAGTGTAGAAATGCATTTTCAATTTTTTCATCTGTTCTCATTTGACTCCTTATAATATTACAATCTTGATAACATAATCACATGAATTACCACTGACATATTTTATGTTAAGAAGGGGGGGGGAAAAAAAAGGAAAAGGCCATTGATCTTAAACCCCCCCACACACACACACACACACAAAATCCTTGGTTTTAATGTTTGCATTATAGCATCTCAACCGGGTACAAACAAAATCAGGGTCCTCTATGACTAATGGGTATCTGGTACTGTCATGATGTGTAGTAGCATTCACAAGTTACTCCCAATATTACTGATGAATATCCCACCCTTCAAGTTTGTATCTTATATATAAAATACATTATGTGGGTATCCAAGCAACTCCTTTGCTCCCACTGGTCTAATTTCAATGATTCATAGCTCATTCAAAAACCCTAGGAAAGTTAGGCACAGGGAATGATTTTTGTTGAGCTCAGATTCTGGGTTGCTAGATTATGCAAGGTTAAAAAATATATATTAATATATTATACTAGCTATTATTGTTGCTTTCATGACTCAAGGAGAGTAACTCTTTGTATCCAAAATTGCAGCTACTTTAGAACCAGACCTATCAGGCAGCATATAAGCTAGGTCCTGTGGAGGACTCTTAGTTTGGCCATCATTACAATAGCTAGGGAGGAGTAGATGTGATAGACATCAAACTACAGAACTCAAAATTGATCACTGCATTTAAATAGTGAATTAATATTTAAGTTTACCTTTTTAAGTTTAACAATAATTTTTCTGCTGCCACTTAGGATCTACACATCAAATTGTCTTATTTTCCATACAAAATTATTTTTATTTCATAGGTGACAGAACAGGGGACAATTTATAAGATAAAATTAATATAGTGTAAAGATGGGAAAATAGAAATTAGAATTAGTTATACATTCAAAATTTGAAGAGTTAGAGAAACATAATAGCTAAGTAAGTAAAACCTATATTATGGAATCTATATGAATAAATGTGAAATTGGAGCTGAATTCTCCCACAAATTCTGGCATTAAAAAACCCACAGCTCTACTTTATAGTAATTTGGTATTTAACTCTCTGGTGCAATGAGAGGATGCAGCCTCAAGCCTCTCAGTATAATTTTTCTTGGTTGTGGCTCTGTCCTTTGATGGAGTCGCTCCTGAGTGATGATAATGTTACAAACTACTCCAAAGAGTGGTTGATTTACTTGAATACAAACCAAGTCGGGTTGTGACACGAGGTCAGTTTTTAATGTGGGGACCCAAATGCATTCACTCAAGCTGCTGGTCATAGTTTGTCCAAGCTAGTCATATCTGTGGGACTACCAGCACAGGGACGGATCCCTGTGACTGATAAGTATCAGAATGTGTATAACACTCCAAAGAGCAATTTACACACAGTATTTACTTTCAAAAATGTTTGAAATTTGCATTTTACTTGGCATTCAACAAGTTGGTATTTATTTGTAAAACTTTTCTTAACTATAACAAACCAATTATGAATGAAATGTTGATTTTTAAAATTTCTTTCAAAAGTTTAAAGTAGTGAATATATCTTACTTTGCAAAACTATAGTGAGCAGGTTTACCATAAAACTCATGATTTCTGATAGTTGCACAATAACCAGGAAGAGATTTGATCACTCTTAAATACTGTACTGAAATTTTTATCCACAATCTTACAAAATATCTCCCTCATTTGGATTTATTTCAGCAATTTCACTTTCCTATTCTGGATTTTTACTTGTAGCTATTCACCCCCCCCCCACACACACACACACGCACACTGCAATGGCTGTACTGCCCATTAATCATCAAAAATTTTGTCAAGCATATTTACCTGAAGTTTTAGTCCTGCCCAATGCATTAACTCCAGAAAAAACAAAAAGCAGCAACAATGAAAGTAGTGTGAATTCTTTTCAAGTGCATGCAAAGAATAAACCAGAGGAAAATATTGCTTTGACCACATGAGAATGTCACTTGATTTGCATGGCCAATTTCAAACCAACTACTCCATATCGCTGTACTTTTTTTTTTTTTTATGTAACAAAGTAACATTGAAATTCTTAAACTTTGTCAGTGTGTGTGTGTGTGGGGGGGTTGTGTTTCCCTGGAAAGTACTTATTTTTTCCTTACTTCCAGATTTCAGTGAAGAAATAAGCTGCTCAGATCGCTCTATGGCAACATTGATAAAGACAGCAACCATCACAGCACAGTATCCAATGAAAAACCATGGTAAGTCACCTTATCTTCAAATTTGTGTACAGGTTTGTTTTTGTGTGTTTATGATTGGAGTAGCAAAAGGCATGAGCTAACTTTTTTGTTTTGAATAGTTTTATTATTATCTCTTGCTTGAAGAGACGACTCTGCCATTATGTGGTGAGTGAGTGCACATCTCTAATGTTATGTTGCTAATTTCTTTTAATTTCTATTCAATTACTTCATCTTTGTTTATATTTTTATTCTTTTTCAGGAACCCCTCTAAGGAATTTGCAGCTGGATAGTTTCACATTGACAGAAATTTTACGTCTTCATTTATTATCGTCTGGTGCCCGGGCAAATGCCAGCAATGTCAAATTCCGTTATCAACAAAGAGGAGGTTATACATCCATGGATGATGCTGGTCTGCAACTTTGTAAAGAGGATCCAGAATTAATGCAACGACTGGCACAAGACAATATCTTCGACATGAAACCTGGTCAGTTTTTGTGTTGTGGTTGTTGTTTTTTGTGTTGTGGTTGTTGTTTTTTGTGTTGTGGTTGTTGTTTTTTGTGTTGTGGTTGTTGTTTTTTGTGTTGTGGTTGTTGTTTTTTGTGTTGTGGTTGTTGTTTTTTGTGTTGTGGTTGTTGTTTTTCCTTGGTAAACAGTCTCTTTAGATTTAACTGTTAAAGGGTAATTTATATCTAGAAATCAATTGGGCTTTTATTTGACTAAATGATAACTGTTAGGATGATATAAAATATTCCCAACTAATGTTCTGAGCTGTAAACACTAGCAATATGTTAGCATTTTATATCTGGTGAGGGGAATTGTCACGCACAGCAATAACTTAATGCTCAATAAAAAAATTAGCTTTTTAGCCCTGATGGCAACTGACAGTTTCATTCAATGTGTGTAGATTAGCAGATACAAATTCTTTTTAGTGTGATTGTCTTGTGCTTTTAGATAAGATTTGTTGATGAATTATGGTTCATTTTTTAATTGTCTTGTCCTCTTCAGGTGATAAACTGAAAATCCTGTCCACCTTGGTTCATCAGTTCCTCTCATATGCAGCTTCTCGTGATTTGGTGGAAGACAATTTTGAAAAGTTACGCCAACTGAAAATGGATCTTAAGCAGTTGCAGTGGTCAGAACTGCGTCGAGAACGGGAGGAAGCAACTGCCAGGTATGTCCGTCCATTCTAGTGGACTTATTTACCACAAAATTGACACTAGGAGAGGGTGACACTATTTTTTTCTTTTCTATATTCAATAGCTGGTCTATTTTGATATGCTTAAAAACAATTATAAAAGATGTGTTTAGGGATTCAAAGTGGAACACCTTAAATATGGCTCTAGTTGCATTAGCAAAAGTGATCAAACCAAGGGAATAGAGAGAATAACAAATGATAATCTCAAACTAATGAATGGGAGGAGAAAGGTAAATAATGCAAAGGATTTGTGCAGAAGATACAATGTTAAGCAGATGTTAGAAAGAAATGCAAGCAAGGAAAAGATGAATGACTTAACAAGGGTGCCAAGATAGAAATACTATGAAAGGTAAGCATGCAGAAAAAGATCAAAGAAATGGGACAAAATGTATTCTTTGACAGGAAGCATAAAATTTAAAAATGGAATATAATAATGGAAAAAGAAAAACTGCTACAAAGGTGGAATGAATATATCAAAAGATTTCTTCCATGATAATGGAGGATATAACTTGGAAGGACCTTGTATTAAAATCTAGGATCAGCAATAACCAAGAAGAATAGAAACAAAGAAACAGGAACAAATGTGATTGTAATAGATAAGATTACCAAAATATGTTGGCAACAGTAAGTCTGTCTTCAGAGTAATGCCAAATAAGTTAGGTGCAAGATCCATTGGACAGTCCACTTAACCTTTACCCTCCTAATTTCTTTCTAGAATTGTTCCCCCTGCCACTGCATTTTTTTTTTATTTTCCTGTGGGTGATAAAACATATCCTATTTTAAAATTGTTATAACTTTCTTTCTATTGTGCATATAGACTTTAATTTTTGTACACTAATAAAAGAATGAGTAATATTTGATGTAATGCATCATGTTTTGATGTTGAAAACAAAAATTGAAATACGAAATGAAAAATAAAAAAACAAATACATTAAAAAATACATAAATAATTATAAAAAGTTCTAAATAATTCAACAAAATTGCTAAGGCAGCTTTCATTTTGTCAAAAAGAGTTCTTCCTCATTTTGTCAAAAAAAAACAAAATTTTGTCAAAAAAAGCAGTGTTTTCCTCATTTTGTCAAAAAAGCAGTGTTTTCCCCATTTTTTGTCAAAAAGCAGTGTTTTCCTCATTTTGTCAAAAAAAAGTGTTTTCCTCATTTTTGTCAAAAAAAAGCAGTGTTTTCCTTTTTTGTCAAAAAAGCAGTGTTTTCCTCATTTTTGTCAAAAAAAGCAGTGTTTTCCTCATTTTTGTCAAAAAAAGCAGTGTTTTCCTCATTTTTGTCAAAAAAGCAGTGTTTTCCTCATTTTTGTCAAAAAAGCAGTGTTTTCCTCATTTTTGTCAAAAAAGCAGTGTTTTCCTCATTTTTGTCAAAAAAGCAGTGTTTTCCTCATTTTTGTCAAAAAAGCAGTGTTTTCCTCATTTTGTCAAAAAGCAGTGTTTTCCTCATTTTTGTCAAAAGAATTTTTTTCTCAAAAAAAGCAGTGTTTTCATTTTTGTCAAAAAATAGTGTTTTTTTTTGTCAAAAAAAAGCAGTGTTTTTCCTCATTTTTGTCAAAAAGCAGTGTTTTCCTGTTTTGTCAAAAAAAAAAGTGTTTTCCTCATTTTTGTCAAAAAAGCAGTGTTTTCCTCATTTTTGTCAAAAAAGCAGTGTTTTCCTCATTTTTGTCAAAAAAGCAGTGTTTCCAAGAAGACACCAGCATTTGTTTGTTCTTTCTTTCACCTGACTCCTTTATTTGTCTCATTGACAAATAGTTATTATTTTGTCGTTTATAGACAAAATAATTCACCTTCAGAAAGACCATCAGGTATATTAATGGTTGCCAGTAGCTTCCATAAAACTAGTCAGTCATGGATGATAGTAGCCACTAATGGTCATCATAGCCTTCCTCCATGTTACTAGTGTGGTTATCATCTTCGACCACTTCACTGTCAATATCCACTCGAGTAAAGCCTTCAAAGTCATCATCAGAGTCCTAATCAAAGAAAAACTGAATAAAGTCCATTTTTGTTTACAAAAAATTGTGAAAAAAACTAACGTGGGTTTAGTCGGTGTTACACTTCATGTAGAATCTAGAATTCAATATGGCATTGGAAAATGGAAGTTTAACTTTCTTCCAAAGCAGTAGGTGATATCCAGCTTAAAATATGGAAATAACAGTTGACAAGTGTTTATTTATAGCAACCATCCCAAGGTGACAGAATGTGCTTAGAGTGGCAAAGGGAAAGAATTCTACGGCAACAATTGTTACCTACAGTGTGGTAAAGATTAATGAACCACATAAACAGAATAATTAGAATTCTAACAAATAGTTCATTGCATGTTTAAAATGGAAATAGGGAATTAACAGCTTCTTTGAGACCCTGGAAGAAAAAAAAATTGTATCTGAGCAAGCATTACAAAGGCAGAAAGATGTATACCAGTCTCGTATAGATTATGCTAAAGCATTTGATAAGATAAACAAGTATTTGAAATACTAAAAAAGCTTGATTCATAGGAAATATGTTCTGGTAAATATGGACCTTCATAACTACAAAATGTGTTTCCACAGTTTTCTCATTGACAGTGCTTTTAATTACATTCACTCTCTCTGAAATGTTTATTTACAAGATTATAAAAATTATTTGCCATTTTATAAGAAAAAAATTTTTTAAAATAATTGCAAAATTCTCAAAACATGTAAACCATCTACAATGCAATATTATTTGCCACGTTTTTATAAGTAACTGAAAACAATTATAATTAGTTTTTTCTGCTTACTTAAATTTGATTGTTCAAACTTTTTTTTTTTTTTTTTTTTTTTTTCAATGAAACTTCTTTATAAATTGATAAATGATAAACATTGTATTAGTTTAGGTACCTCCAATAATTTGCTAACAAAATAATATAGCACGATGATAAAGGGTCCCAAACTTAATAAAAACAAAGTTTTTATTGTCAAAATTTTTTTCCTTTCCTCTTAATAACAAAGTACTATAAATTTATCATTATCTTAGTTAAACACCGTTATAGAGGTAACTCAATAATTTAAGAAATTTTTATGTCATTTTAAATTACTATGAGAAAGCATCTTCAAAACTACCTAAAAAAAAAAAAAAAAAAAAATCACTAAAATATTAGATAATTGCTTAAAATATTTTAATTTTTAAACATTACCTGGTAGTTGAAAAAGAAAAAGTCGATTGTCAATTCTGATCCTTACTAAATCTGTCAATACCTTCAGCCATCGAATTATCGATGATGTGAGAATAGCAAGACTCTGACGAAATGCTTGTCTAGAAAATGTTATGGTGGAAGTAAGTTGTTTCAAGACAGATTACTTAAACTTTGAGTTTGCTAATTTTACAAAAGTAACCTTTCCGAAATATATATTTTGTTTTAGGCCTATTTTTTTAAAACCTGAATTAAGTTTTGTTTACATTTCTCTAAAAAAAAAAAAATGTCATTTTGATTGGTTTTCAGAAGAATTGACTAAAAATCATAATTTCTATTTGAAGCACACTAAAGTCGTTTTTCTGGAATTAGAAAATTTAATCCTTTAGCTTTCAATTGAAGCTGAGGGAAGAGCTTCAAAAATGATTTTTCATTTATGAAAAATACCTTTAAGCCTTAAGTATACTGAATTTTTGACAGTACCTATATTAGTTGGTTTGCATTTTAAAAATGTCCATATAAAATTATTTTTGTAAATCCAGTAGTGTTTCATATTTGTCTTGTGAATTCTCAAAGAACAAAGAAAATGTATAAATTCAATTCCATATTTTTGGTCTTTATTAAAATTCTAAAGGTCGCTTTTTAAAACTAGTAGTTTAAGTAATAGCAGTGGCAATGGGAAAAACTGTTCTTTTTGAGACATTTTTTGCAAGCACAAAGATCTCTCTCTGGATGCAAGAAAAGACCCTTTTTTTTTTTTTTTTTTTTTTTTGTTTTTGTTTTTGTTTTTTTTTTTTTTTTTTTTTTTTTTTTTTCCCCCTCATCAAATGTAATTGACCTATGGGGACATATTCCTAAATGATTTAGATGATTTCCAAGGATTTATTATTGGTGAACATCAGAAGATAAGCAAATGACACTAGAAGTTAGAAAGAAACCTATAAGAACACCATTTAGTAAAGGAAAATAAGAACAGACTAACTATTAAGTGTAAGACAATGCCTGGTGGTCAGCAAAGAGACTGACTGGGATGTCAAAATAAAGTTGATTCAGAAGTTCAAATCTGGGTTCTGTAGTCATGGAAAATACAACACAAATCTGAAAATACATTACAGAATCGTCTTAATAAATTAATAATTCTAATTACTCGAAAGATTGTAAAAGGTTACCTAGAGCAATTTTTTTTTTTTTTTTTTTTTTTTTTTTTGCTTAAAAACATATGGGAGGATGGAATTATGAAGTTTTTTTGATAGATGGTGGAACAAAATGAAAATATCAGAAAATAATTTCAAATTAATAATCTTTATCTAAGGGGTTCTTTGGAGGATAAAAAGATATGAAGAATGAATTTTTGGATGACTGATCAAGATCTTGTTCGTCTTTTTCAAAGGTATAAGCGCAATATGGAAGAAAGAATCAGGGAGCGAAAACAAATAGAAATGAAAATTGCCAGTGAAGCCCTTAAAGAAGCTGGAGTTGAAATGAACAATGGTAATGCAGAGTAAGTGTCCTCACTCATTACTACTTACTTTCTTTTTTTTGTACTTGAACACCTGCAAAAAAACAAACAACTTAAGAAACCCTTAAAAGATTATTTTGAATTATATTGACATAAATAAAACTATACAATTCATAATTATAGGTCAAAGTAATTGGATTCTTAATTTCATTTATAAACAATTCTTACAAAATCCCATTTTCCTTTTTGCATTTGTTCTAAACTTCCCAAGACATGAGTAATTATTATCTTGAGCTCTTTTCTATTTTTATTTTTTGTTCTCACTAGAATGTCTTTTCTTCTTTTTAGTGAAAAGGATAAAGACAAAGAAAAAACAGACAAAAAAGCATCAAGAAGTCGCCTTCTTCAAATTGATAAATTCAACAAACTTGAAGACTTGGAGAAAATTAACGAGCAGGAGTTGACACCTGATGAAAAGGATGCTTACTGGCAGAAACGAGAACAACTAGATGCCAAGAAGAAAGCAGAGAACCAAGAGAAAGAAAAGGACCTGCTTGCTTCTATCACTAAATTACAGCAGGGTAATGCTGTGTATCCCCTGGGCCGTGACCGAATGTATCGACGTTACTGGACCTTCAGTTCTCTACCGGGACTCTTTGTGGAAGATAATGATGAGACTGTGCCAGATGAGCTGAAGCCTGGCTTCAAAGAAGAAGAGGAAGAAGAGGAGGAGGGGAAAGATGATGACGAAGATGTGGAGAAAGATGATGCCGGCGAGGTGGGCAAGGGTGACACCGACGAGGTGGGCAAGGATGACGCCGGCGAGGTGGGCAAGGATGACGCCGGCGAGGTGGGCAAGGATGATGCCAAAGAGGTGAGCAAGAATGATGATGGAGACGTGAGCAAGAATGATGGTGACGAAGATGGGAAAGATGAAGATGTAAAAGACGAGAAGATGGAAGTGGACTCAGATGTCAAAGATTCCAAAAAGTCTGTGAATGGTTCAGACAAGAAAAGCAGCAACGGTGTCATCGATTTGACCGACATGACAGATGACAGCATGGACAAGTCGGAAGAGGATGATGACGACGACGATGATGAGGATGATGAGGAGGAGGAGGAAGAAGAGGAAGAGGAGAAGCCGTCATATCTGGAGAGTGAAATTGTACAGAAAATTATTAACAGAGAACGGGTGAAGTGGTCCTATATTAAATCACCTGAACAATTTAACAAATTAGTTGAGTCGCTGAACTCTCGTGGTTTTAGGGAGGGCAACCTAAAACAAATTCTCTTGGAAAGTAGTAGTCGTTTCCAGGAATCAATTGGTAACTGTCCTTTTGAGGATCCAGATGATGTGGATGAAAAGCCAAAGAAAGACAAGATGAAGAATGGCCGTAAAGATACAGAAGAAAATAGCACTGCTCAAGAGATTCTGGAGTTGAATTTAAGAGACTTGCTCTTAGATTTAGAAGAACGTATTTATGTTGGGAGCCTTGGATGTATGAAGGTAGGTCTAATTACTTTCTTTTACACCTGCTGAACTTTGAGTTTGTTGAATTAGCAGAGATATGAAAGATCAATGCTGTATTGTTTGGTTGTTTAGAAATAATGTGCAACTTGATTTAATCAAAGTTTGAACCTTTGACCAGAATACTTCTATGTAAGTACCTCCACAAGATTGCTAAAAAATTAGCATGACATGATGAAAATATGCTTCAAATGTAAAGAAAACATAGTTCCAGCATCAAAAATCTTTATTATTAGGAGGAAAGATCTAAGTATTTTTTTTTTTTTTTTTTTTTTTTTTTTACTCCTTTTTAAAACATTTTAAACTTGCTTATTTTGCACTGGCAGTTATAATAACTTTTAACATAGCAAATTTTTGTTTTTCGCAGTGACCCACATTAATTTGGAAATTCTTGCAAAAATCAAATTCTTGAAGTTTAATGAAAATTTCAGGACTTATTCACAAATTTTATTGAATTTTTTTTTTTTTTTATTAGAAAACCTTGGTTTTAAAAAAAAAAAAAATTTGGCATGTTTCTCTACCCCCCCCACACACACACTATTTTATGAAAGCATCAGAAATTCATTGAGATAATTTGTAGTGACTATATTAGTTAAAAAGCAGGATTTTTTGAAGGATTTACATCACCAATTTTATTTGTACTTGGTCATACAATTCTGTTCTGAATCGAAAAATAAAAAATGCAATAAAACGGAAGCTTTTAATTGGTTTTATGAATAATATATATTAAAGACCCTATTTTCTGAAGAAAAAATTTTCGATGAGATGGTTTTTAAGGAATATTAAGTAAAACTATTTATTAATCATATATATTTTATTTTTGCAAGATTTTTAAAACAGAAAAATAAGTTTTATTTAAAATGTCTAAAAAAACAAAAAAAAAACAAAGCTGACATGATCAATTTTACTGTAAAAAGAAATGAAACTCTGAAACTCTATTCCAATCAATATCATTTCTGTCTGAAATAAACCAAAGTGTTTTGCTTACCTGATATAGTAAATTTAATCCTTTTACCTTTCATTTAAAGCTAAATTGAAAGCTTTGGGGAAGCTTTTTTTTTTTTTTTTTAAAGTTCATTTTAAACTTTACATATACCGAATTTGCAGAGCTACCTACTCTTATGTAATTAGGCAATTTCAACCCATGCAGTACAATTCCAAATTTCTAAGTTTAATGGATTTGTTAAAGTTTCCTGCAGCTGCTTGGTTCTGAAAAGTTCTTATTCAAAATTTAGTCAAAAGGCTTGAACCTAAGAGCAAAAATCTGGAGAAAACATTTGATGAGGCCAAATCTGGATTCTCTGAACTTTTGCAAGGGAACATTTATCTTGAATGGGATTATTTGAATTAAGCAAATGTGCTTTCTCTCAATTTCATTTAGTTTGTTTCTCCCGGATTCAAATGTTTACAGCAATTGTTACCTCTACCCCTTCAAAAGCCCATTGTGAATAAAGACTCTTCTATTAGACATTAGGTTGACATTCTTATAAAAATAACTTGAATTTTTGGATAGCTTAAAAATGTATTGTTTATGATTGTTTGTATTCATTTTGAAATTACTATGCAAATACTTGTAGATGATTTTTATGAATGTTTTATACTTCCACTTTTTACATTCATTTGAAATTTAAACTTGATAATTTCAAGCTGAGGCCACCACTCACTTATTCACAGTCCATTCCCTACTTGGTAAGATTCTCCAAATGTATTCAAATAGTACATTTTCAGTTTTTTTTTTTTTTTTTTTTTTTTCTCAATGTTCCAAACAATTTCATTTTCTTGTTTAGAGAAAAAAAAAATTGTGTAGTTTAAAATTTGACCTCATGTTGTTCTTAAGTAGTCAAGATAATTTTATAATAATGTGAGATAGTATAAATATTTGAATGGGAATGAAATTGCTGAAATTTTATACAATTTTCAATATTGCATTGTTATTGCAGCCAGCATCTTTATCCATTCTTGTTGTTTTCAGGTTAAGGACCGTCTTGAATGGCGTGCTGCTGTCGATGGCAGTGCAAACCAGGGTGGTGCTGATGAATCTTCTAATGACACTGAGAAGAAACCAAGCCAAACTGGAGAGTCAGTTGTGAAGACTCTTGCAAAGGCCTTACTGCAAATTGCCCATGGGGTTGAGTCACGTTACATGCGGGAACCATTTGGGGATGCTGGGAGCAAAGACCCAAAGAAAGAACCTAAGAACAAAAAGAAAGACAAAGATGACAAAGGAGATCATAGTGATGACACAGAAAATGGTAAATTTCCTTTCTTTCTGCTCTTGGCAAATTTTGCTACTGGGAAGCAATGCTTGCCTGGATATGAAGTGAAGTCCAAAGCAACAACATTTGTATGGAGCCATTCCAATTTTTATTTTCACCCTCCTAATAAAAACTTGGGAAACTTTATTTTAAACATAGATAATAAACGGGACTTCAAACATAAGTGTCGCTCCCTTTTTTTTTTTTTTTTTTTTTTTTTTTCAACCGTGCAATTTGCTTTATTCAAAATTGGGCTTGATATGTAGTTCAGCTCTAAGCAACCCCCCCCATGAAACTAAGAGTGCCAGGGGAGCAGTTGAGTGATTCTCTCCTGCCGCCCCTGCTCCCATTCTTTTTTGCTGCTGTTAACCAAGGTCTCTACTTTTTGATAGGTTTCCTAGACTGTTGTTCATCTTGTTAATCTTCTATTAATATAATAACTAGTAGCAGTATCATAATAGTGTCTTTGTGTGTTAGTTAAAATGTTCACCTAAACTGGAGAATGAGAAGTAGAGTTAGAAATGGGATATCCACTCTGTGGGAATAAACTAACAAAATCTTTGTATTGTTTACAGTAATCAGTGACTTAATACTTAGCTGGCATCTCTTGGTAATTTCCAATAGTCATCATCAAGGTGTCTTCATCACCTGCTTTTTAAATATCTTTTGGCATATTAACATCTTTTCATCATGAATTCTTCTTTTTAATGTACTTTGACTCAATGAAGAAAGCAAAAAAGCTGCAATATTTTAATAATGGTGCTTAAAGATACACACACACGTTTTTTTTTTTTTTTTTGTGATGCAGCTAGAGAAAAAGAGTACAGGTCTTTTGAGGGATCAGCTAAATTACTTAACTACAAATATCAGGCCTGATATTGTCTTTGACGGCTTTAATTTAAATTTATTACAAGATTACAGTAAATGATCTAAAATTAGTTGGTGATCTATAACTCCTTAATTGGAAGCTCAGAAAATTGACAATCAAGAAAAATAAGAATATTTAAATCTGTTGTACCTACCTAAACTGATGCTGTTTCTTGTTTTTTTTTTATTGCTCATATAATGAAAGAAATGTAAGGTTGTCCCAAGTTCAGAGAATGAAAATGATTTTTCATCATTGACCATAAAATGGATACATTGTGGTTCCTCTAAAAATGTAGATCAAATTTGTGATTGATGTGACGGTTTGTTTGTGTATTTTTTTTTTTTTTTTTTTTTAAGATAGTGTAACCTGTGTGGCAACTGTTTAACCAAAATATATTTGTAAAGAGAAATGTGAGGAACTGGTGTTGGTTAGAATAAGCAGTCATAGTTTAGTACTATTCCTTCGAGAAGGGGGTGGGGGTAAAATTGTTAAGATTTTATTCTCCAACGTTCCCTTGAAATTGGCATATACAACACCCCACCCTGGACTAAATAAATGATCTGGGTTGTTCTGTTTTGCTTTTGCCATAGCATATTATCTGTCTCTAAAGCTACTTTGACGGTATAAGCAATTGGCTCTTCAGTGACTGTTTAGCTAGTGTAGCTTTGTGGCAAACTGACATCCACTCCACCTGTCTGTTCAATGTTTAATCTCCCGCGGCTGACCATTGAATAGATCACTTCAATCCAAGCCTTGCCATGCCCCACATTGTATTTGATTTAGGTCACAAGGCTGGCAAGGATTAATCATGGAATTGGCTTGTTCTGGATAGAGAAAAGTCACAAGTAAAAATACCATTTCTTGTACAGAGCTGGTAGTACAATTATCAGTTCTTCATGCAGTTATTGACCCTTCCCTCTTTGAATATTTCATGGCACATTTTGTCGTGACTAAGTATAGACAAGACTTCTGGAACAATTTAAGTTGGAGACTTCTTCAGGCAGGAAGTCACACAAGATCAGATGAAGTGGTCATCTCTTGTCTGTTGGTCACTCCCACTTTCTATTGACGTTAACCTTCGTCCAAAACCAGCATGGAGTCTGACAGGTCCTTTGTCATCTGACTCCAGAAAATTAATTGCATGCCTAAATTTGGGGAGATCCCTCCTCCTAAGAATAGTCATAGCAGAATATCCTTTCACTTTAACTCCTTCCTCCTCATATTAGTACCTCATACCAATACTACCAAAGGGGTGCAGGCAATTCCTCTGTCCTACTTGATATTTCACCGGAGACCTTCACTTTGGTTGCCATTTCATTTCTTTAGCAATTTACCTTTCCCCTCTTTTTTGACAAGGGATATAAATCCATTCTATAACTGTGCTTTTGTTCCAAGAAAACCTTAAAAATATTATCAATTCACTAGCCAGCAAAATCCCTCAACCTAGCTTCACCAATAAAATCCAGAAATTTACCAGATGGCTTTCAAGTATACAAAGAATCAGAGGCCATCATTTTCTTTATCTTTTTGACCAACTTCTCTTTTTGGGTTATGGTCTGTGGGTAAAGTCCACACTGATTATCAGTGTCTCCATTTCAGCCTTGTCATGGTAAAATCTTCTGACTTGAATGTTATTACACCACACTTTCCCCATTCCTTGTAGGTTTAAATTATGCAGATGACTTTTTCGGCTAGATTCCTCAAAATAATAAAGCCATTTTACTTCAAGTCAGCCCTATTCCCTTTTCTTATTGTTTACCTGTGTAAGAAAATATTCTGAATTTTAATAAAATCCTGCCTCATATCTTGGTCTGTTTATAGGGCTATCTCTTAACTCTTCAAGCATCTTATAGTGTTACAAAGACATTCAGTAAACAGCCACAATGAAACTTGTGTAGGTCAATCATTAAAATAGTTTTCATGTTATAAATTTTTATAATTTTTTTTTTTTTTTTTTTTTTTTTTTCTCCTTTTTGTTTCAGATGATGACAAAACTGATGTTGTCGTCAGCAGCAGCAGTCAAAAAAATAAAAAAGGGAAAAGCTTGTTTGAACGCTGGGAGGAGTCGTTGACTAATTGTACCAGTTTTCCTCAGATCTTCCTCCATCTTTCCTCGTTAGAGAAGAGTATTATTTGGTCAAAGTCAGCACTCCACGCTCGCTGCCGTATCTGTCGACGGAAGGGAGATGGTGAACACATGCTTCTCTGTGACGGCTGTGATAGAGGACATCATATGTATTGTCTAAAACCACCTGTCAAGGTAAGTCCACCCCCACACTTTCTCTGACATGAAAAAACAACCCTGGCATTTTTGTTTGTTGGCATCAACCCCAGAGAAATGTGGTCTTTGTGTTGATTATTACTTATAAGTGTCAATGCAATCTGATCATGCACACACAACCTTCTGTTAGGCTGCAACTTTCGAGTTATCTGACGTAAAGAACCAAGACAGGTTTAAAACTTGAGAATCCTTATTTGTTCTTCAATTTGTTGACACAGACTGAAAAACAAATGTCATTGTTTTACTAAGAGACTTCTCAAATGACTGAAATTCAAAATTCAGTTACTGCCAAATCAACTGGCAGTTGGAATTTAGTCAAAATATTGATATGGTTGTCTATATTTTTGCAGACTGTACCTGAGGGTGACTGGTTCTGTCCCAACTGTAGGCCCAAAGAAGTCCGTCCTTCCCCACGGAAGGGGCGGCAAACTTACATAGCAGAATCAGATGACTCTGAATCTGAGTCAGAAGAAGAGGAGGAAGATGAAGACGAAGAGGAAGAACGTTCAGATGAAGAGGAAGAAGAGGAGGAAAGTGGAGAAGAGAGCAGGTGAGATAGCCACTACTTTCTTTCTTTCTTTTTTCTTTTTTTTTTTCCTTTTTTTTTTTCTCTCATTCTCTCTCTCTCTCTTTTTTTTTTTTTTTTTTTTTTTTTATCCTGTTTGTTTGTACCTTTTCAGTTGGGAGACAACAGAAAACGAAGGGTCTCGGCGCAAAGATGGTCGTTCTGATAGCCATGCTTGTGTTGTATGTGGGCGTCGAGGCGCCTTGGTCACCTGTGATAAGTGCCCCAATGTCTACCATTTGTCTTGTGCCAACCCACCTCTCAAAAAGGTACCAAAGACCAAATGGCTTTGTCGACATTGCTCTGGAGACAAAAAAAGTAAGTATAAAATCAATTTAAGCTTGGAATCAGTTCATGTAAGTTGCTAAGACTAATAATTTTCATCATTGTTGGCTTTAAGGCTCTCTTGTAATAAAGATTTCTATCTATGCTTCAGATACATATTGGAATTAATGATTAACTAAGAGGATGTGGAAAACTTTTCTCTTTTTCCAGGCAAGAAGGCATCATCCAGTAATAAGTCTCCTGGATCCTCTAGTCAGCCAGGCTCAAGGCGAGAGAGTCCAGTAAATGCACGATCAAGAAAACGAGCACGATCAGAATCGGATGATGATACGCCCAAACGTTCACGGTCATCAGCTAAAAGCAAATCTGTAATTGACAATGAAGGTGAGGTTTTTTTTTTTTTTTTTTTTTTTTTCTCTTAAACATATCTGGGGTGGGGAATGGTTTGATTTCATTTGTTAGAAAATTAGAACATTCTTATTGTGTAGCCATTTGTTGATTCCTTTACAATCCCTGCCCAAGCACAAAATAACTACAAGGCAACTTAGCCTTTAAAATAAGAGATAGCTGAAATATTTGTGTGAAATAATTGAGAACAAATTGTTATAAAGAATTATATTTTCAGAAACTTTGGTCTAATATTCCTATTTTAAAAAAAAACAAAAAAAAAAAACAAATAAGCCTTGAAGAATGCTTTGATGCAGCCTCATGCTTGCATCAGGTAGATCTTGGCATGGCCATCTTAATTGTGCTTTGGTATTGTAACATCCCTTGATCTTGGGTCATTAGATTTAGGCAGTCACATGCTAGGGATGACATGAAAATTCTCAGCCAGCTATACCTTTTGACGTCTCTCCAGAAATGGGGGTTGGGTGTCATGACATAGCTCTTCATCTCATCATAAATGATACAAACTGTGTGCGCATCAATGAAAGTCCCTGGGGGGGGGTCTATGCATGGCCACTTGTTATCTCCAAACATGTGGTCACTTTCAAGACGCTTACCTAAAAGAGAAAGGTGTATTCTCAAATACCTGGCACTTGCTGTGTGTTCAAGAGTTCCTGTAACCCTCTTCAGGTTGCAGGGATGTAGCAGTAGATGTGTCTAGGGCAAGATAACCCGATAGAAGCCTTCAGTTTATATGGGGTTTTGAATTCAGTATTTGTTGCAAATTAACTGCCAACCAAGGTAAGATAATCCAGTCTCCCTTGCTATTTAACCCATAGCTGGAGGAAGAGAAATTCATTAGTGTGGAGTAAATGAAACCTAGCAGAATTTGAAATCTGCATGTTGATTCTACTTTTTTGTGTTAAGTTGGGTATATATGCCCACATAGATTTTTAAACAAATCTGATGTTACAAAACAGATTTGAAATGCAAGAAAGCATTCTTTCTTTAGAGATCTTTCAACCAACCTATTGTCAAAAGAATACGTTGGTAATGGTAATTAACCAAGAAAACAAAATTCATGCAATGAGGAAATATGAGGAGAAAGAGGAACCATGATAAAAATACAAACCTATTTAAAAAAAAATGACATGGGGGGGGTATACAAGGAAAAAAGTTCTCTCTCTCTCTCGTAATATATATATCAGCCCAAACTTGATATGTCTGACAAACCATTTATAATTCCAGGTTTGCTTATCTTCCTTTTTCTCAATTTTTTTACAGAATCTGATGTAAAACATTATGTAAGTAGTTACCGTGGCAACAACAAAGTCTATCAATTGAAAGCATGTGAAGAAATTGTTAATGACCTCATGAAACATGAAGATTCCTGGCCTTTCTTAAGACCTGTGAGCAAGAAAATGGTAAGTTGAACTTTTTTTCATACCAGTTTCAGATCTTGTAAATGTGGGTGTTTACTTGTCTTGCATAATTCCAGATTTATGGTCAAAATCCAATGTGGTACAAAGCAGTTTTTTGGGGTTTTTTTTTATTATTATTATTATTATGGAAAATGTCAGTTTTGATTGACATTCACCTTATTTCTATGTTTCTCAGTGTGTATGATTCTTAGAGCAATGCTGATGAGGGGAAATTTATAACTCTCTCCTTAATACTTAACAAAATGCAAAAATATCACAATCATAAAATCAGTCAGTAATTATTTACAACTATTTATACTGGGACTCGTGCATGCAATTATAAGTAATCTATAATAATATTTTACATTTTGAAATCATTTATTTTCGGCGTGTGTATGGGGAGGTGCTCTGAATACTGAACAGATGATATTTATTAGTGTTTTTTTTTTTTTTTTTTTTTTTTTTTTTTATTATTATTATTATAGCCACTTAGCTTTTAAGCTTTTTTTTTCCCTTTCTCTCTTGTAGGTCCCTGATTATTACGACATCATCAAAGAGCCAATGGATTTTTCCACAATCCGCAACAGAATTCACAAATATCAATACACTGAAACTACATCTCTTCTGCGTGATGTCAGATTGATTTTCAGCAATTGCAAAGAGTACAACAAGAAGTCAGCCCCAGAATACAAGGCAGGACTCAACCTGTCTCAGTATTTTGAGAAAAAAGCCAAAGAAATGCAACTTGAAGAAGAAACTTCCTCTTCCTCCTCTCCATCCAGCAGTGGAGCAATTGATTCCAGTGGAAGATCTTCCAAAAAGAAAAGCAGAACTCACTGAATAACCTTAACTCCCTTTCCCACCCACCCCTCCAATCACCTACCACCACACGCACACACCTTCCTCCTCCCCCTTCTCATGTAAATTGCAGACTCTTGCACTATGTGCATGCTTACACTATGTTCACATTTAGGGGAGTGGCTAAAGTGTAAATGCTACAAGGAGGTGGGTGGGGGTGTGTGCACACCCACTTTTTTTTATTATTATTATTATTATTATTATTATATGGTTTCTGTAGACATTTCATTTCCAGACACATGTGGTGACTCAAAAAAAAATGTGCCTCTTAAGAAAGCTGGACAGGTGGGTGGATGTGCATAACTTGCAAGACCACACACACACACACACACACACACACACACACTGATTCAAAAGTCACCCCCATCCCACCCCTTGTTGAAAAATGCTGCTTGACTGTCCCTTCACCCTTCTCCTGCCTACACACGCACACCTCATCTTGATTTTCTGAAACGTTTTCAGGAAGTTCCGCTTGTGAATCAAGAAAATTCTCTTGTTTTTCACGACACAGCAAAAGGCACACTTTAGAGGAAGAACTAAACGAAGCCAACTGTTTCCCATCAAGTGTTTGTGTTGGCATTTGATGAGCACATCAAAATTCACTTGTCCATAGAGAGAGGGGGAGGGGGGGGTCACTTCCCCTCCCACACATTCCCCAACAAAGCCTCTTTCTCTTACTGAAAGTTTTTCTTTTAATTCTAAGCTTGTTTTGAAAATTTAAGTTTAACCTGGACCCCACTCACCCATGCAACCATTTTTTTTTTTTTTTTTTTTTTTCCTGACATTATTGGCTAAAATCTAGAATAGGAAAAGTCAATTACCTCATTATTCTGGTCACTTCATTTCATGACCTCCCACCACACACACACACACACACATACATACACACACACACACACACACACACACACACACACACACATATTTATTTAATTTCTGTCAACAAATATTCTTTCATGCGTTTCAATGTTATGCAAAGAGTGAGTTTGCTATTTAATTCTATTTATTTTAATCAACAAATTCAGGTCATCACTGTCAGTAATTCACAACCCCCCTCCCCCCGTTATGCCCTTCTATCCCCAAAAATTCAGTTATAGGCAGCCAATGGTCAGTTTTTTTCTTAATGCAAATAGGAAAAAGAAAATTGCTACATGACTTGGACACATAAGACTCCTCCCTCCCCCAATACATTTTTTTAACTGCAAGAAAAAAAATGTTTAATAAATTTGAAACACAAAAAAAAAAAATGTTAATCCTGTTACACTTGCTCTCCTCCCCCTCCTTGTTGTTGTCCCTTGGTGGTGAGGGTTAAGGATTATTTTATTATCAAAATAGGACCTCCCCTTTTAAAGAAGGATTACAATTCACCTATGCTTATCCTTCCTGACCTGCATCTGATTATATCATTGTTTATGTGATTCATCTCCAAAGTAAAGAAACTGTTAAATTTTCCATTTAACTTTTGAATAATCTCTTTGGGAAAGACCTTTTTTTTTTTTTTGTGTGTGTGTGTGTGTGCGCGTGGGGGGGGTATTTGGTGCTCAGCACTAATGGCCTTTACTTGGTAAATAACCACAAAAAGGTCAGTTTTTATCTTAAAGGAATGAACTGTATGATATGACCAAGGACATCTCATTCAGCCCAGACACACTGTGTGTGTCTGTGTTCTTGACCATTTCACCATAATTCCCAGTTTTCACCTCTTTGTTCTTTAAAGAGTACCAACCCTAAGGAAGGTCATCAGTGAACAGTCCTTCTCTAGCCTGAGAAACACTTGGTACACCTTTGCTTGCGTAAAGGTAAATGTTTGTGTTTGTTAAACTTCAGGTCTATTTGTTACCTGATTTGTAGCTGTCTGATTTTTTTTTAATTAAGTGAAAGCTTAACTTTGCTTTAAGAGCAAAATTGGTAATTTCCATGTGGACTTGTATCCACCACCACCACCCCTGTCTGACTCTTACCTAGTGTGTGTGTGCGCGTGTTAGTTTTTTGTTTGCTTTAAGGTCTCCAATTTTAATTATTCAATGGGTTAGTGGCAAATCAAGGGAAACAACTCTTGCCTAGAAAGATTTTTTGCCAATCTCATCATCTCTACTTAAAGCTCATGATATTTTGACCTTCATCTGATGATCTGAAGCCTTTCCATCCTGTAAATCTCTCAAGGGTATTTTTTTTTCTTGACTGGATCCATTGCTTCATTGTTGGTCAGGGAACAATACAAATGTACAGATACTGTTTTCATGGCTTTGCTCTGTGTGCAATGCTGTAAGGAACATTTTTAAAACAATTTGGAGTTGGGTGCATTTTTCTACACCCTCTCCTCTATCCACTGTAAGGAAAAAAGACATGATGTAATATTGTGACTTAAAAACTTTTTAAAAGTAACACATACAAAGATTTTTTTTTTTTTTTTTTTTTTTTTTTTTTAAATATTTAAAAAAAAAAAAAAAAAATTAAAAAAAATATATAAAAAAACTTAAAAATACAAAAATGAAAGTTTTCTGGCAGGAAAAAAAAAAAGTAATTGCTATTTTATTTTCATTTTCTTTGTGTGAGTCTCCTTATGAGAGGCTGACCCAAAGTGATAGGCATTGTCCTTCTTGAATTTAGCCCTCACTCCTAATCCCAAAAGACTAAAGATTTGGACCTTTTCTTCAGATTTGTCCTCAATAATTACACAAAATTCCAAATCCCATCTCTCTTTATGGAAGGTGATTGGATGGAATTCAAAATCCAACTACAAACATTTTTACAAATCTTAAAGCAAAAATTGGGGGTGTCTTGATTTTGTTTCAATTCTAACGTTGGGCACCTTGTGAGTGCCTGCTGTCAAGAGAGAAAAAAAAAAAGTCTCTCTCCTCAGTCTCTGTTCAGACAAATAATAAAAACTGGACACCTTATATTTCTTTCTCAGAAAATTTCTTTTTCTGACTTTTTGTTTTGTTTATTTTGAATTCATTCGAATTTAATAGGAATAAAATATCTTTTCAGCTAATTTACAAAAGATGCTTTTTGTTTCATTCTCTTCGTTAGGAATAGAACTTGGTGCTCCATTTCAACCAATTTATTCAAAATGAGGTCACTTCTTCCTGTCTTTTATGGCACATTGATTCTGATAATGCCATATTTGAGATGCTCACTATTTTATTTCATATGGAATGTAACTTTCAAGTTGAGATTGGCAGTTTAGATATAAATGGGTGATCATTTTAAAAAAAAAAAAATTTGAAATGCCTTGCAGGAGTTCTGCATTTTTTTTTTTTTTTTTTTTAAGACTGAGCCAGGTAAATGCAAATGATAAAAGTTATTTTGAGGCATAGAACTGGTTTGCTTTATAGAGAAAATACCTTAAAATTGTCAAGAAAAATTAACTAAAATTAGTCAATGTGGAAAAGCTAAAATGCTTATTTATTTGCATGCATTTTTCTCTCCCCACAAGTGAGATTTTATATATATATATATATATATATATATATTAACTGATTTAAAAAAAATTTTTTTTTTCTATGCAGTTCTAACCATGTTTCAAAAATGGAAGCTAAAAGCTTCAAATTTAAAGACATTAGTTCCATTTCATCCTCAAGCGAATTTTGGAGTAACATATTTTTAAATTTACTGGGTTTTAAAGGCACAACAAAAATCACAATATACAGTTTCCAAGGATACAGAAATTCATTCATCCAGACAAGGGGTGGTTGTGCATTTGTTTTAACTTTTGTTGTATCAATTATTAGTTACGTTTAGGTAGGGATGTAATTTTCAATGAATTCTGACATCCGTTAAATGTATGTCGTCTGGATTTCTTTTTTTCTTAAATTTTATTGTTGATCGCAAAAATTCTTACAGCATTTTTTCTATTTGTATACTCAAAAAAATTTTGGGGGATGTTTAGGTTAGAATAAATTTTATTTCAAATATTTTCGCTTTTAATTTTTAAATATTTTTAAATATTTTCACTTTTAATAGACTATATTTCTTTTTAAAACAAGTAATTGTATTAGAATTACTTACAGTATGTAAAATTATTTTTTCATATCAAGTATAAGTATGTATATTACCAGATCACTTTTTGTTTTTTTTTTTTTTTTTTTTTTTTTTTTTTTTTTATTTTAAATATTATTTAAATAAAATTTAAGATAATTTATGATAAAAAAAAATAGCTAATTCATTTCTCTGATTTAGTACACTTTTATTTTTTATAAGCTTAGTAATATATAGTTTCTCATGTATGTACAAAGGACATGGGTCATTTAATGGCCTACATATTCTAGCTTTTCTTATTAATTTCATTTTACTGTAGGTGTTTTATTGGATTCTTTTAAGTGCTTGTACTTTGAGAAAGGTGTTTAGGTTAGAATATGTTTTATTTAACTACAATTTTAAAATATTTTCACTGCTAATTTTAAGACGATACATATGATGGACGCTCAGGTCGGTTTCAACAACTTTGTTTATTTAACCTTGTGAGTCACAAGTGACACTTCAGGCCCACTAGTGATTTGTAAAGAAGTCCACAGATTGTGTAAGAGTGTGGATTCTTGGAGTATATGGCTGGAACAGCAGCAGATATTTTATTCCTTTCCCTAGTTTGACAATGTTTGATGCTGCCTTGTTCTTGATGCCATTGTAGCATGTAATCTTCCATTCATTACGATCAATTACGATGTTCTCAAAGGTAGTGTGATTTATATTCGCAGCTAAGAGGTTACTCTTCAGCCTGTCCCTGTACCTAAGCAAAGGCCAACCTACGTTTCGATGACCATTGTCAAGTTGACCATACATGAGCATTTTTGGAATTCTGTTGTCTTGCATACGTAACACATGACCTGTCCAGCATAATTGTGATTTCATGAGAAAGGACTCAATACCATCAATATCACACATGGTGAAAAGGTCTGCATTTGCCATTCTGTCGCTTAGGTTTACCCCCACAGATTTCCCGAAGACAGCCTTTGTGAAAAATATCTAATTGCTGGATTTGCTTTCTGTATAGTGTCCTGGACTCTGAGCCATACGAAAGGGTTGAGAACTACAGCCTTGTACACCTGTATTTTGGTTCCAAGCCTAATATCACGATCTTTCCAAAGTCGATGACGAAGTTTTCCGAAGGCACTAGAGGCTTTTGCTACTCGATTGATTCTCATCATCCAGTGTTTCACTTGAATTTACTTTGCTACCAAGATAATCTGAAGTATGTAAAGAATTTTAATTATGTCCATCGACTTGGATTGGTATTTCAGGAAATGTATGAACCAGAGGGTTCTGCTTGACACCTCTGATCTGCTTAGGTACTGGGGGAGGCAGGTGAACAGCTTCAGTTTTTGTAATGCTAATGGTTAATCCGAATGCTTTGCAAGTGGCAGAGAATCGGTCCATCAGGCGCTGAGCTTCTTCAAATGAAGTAGCAACAAGGGCAGCGTCATCGGCAAACAATAAGTTGCGAATTTTGCTACTTTGAGTTTGAGTTTTGGCTTTAAACCTCTGGTGGTTGAAAAGGCCACTGCTTGTCCTAAATTGAATTTTAATACCATCCTCAGTTTCAGCAAATGTGTATTTCAGCATTACAGAAAAGTAGAGGGCAAACAGTACAGGGACCATAACACACCCTTGTTTAGTGCCATTAGTAACGCCAAAGGAATCAGACGTTTCCCCATTAGAAACAACATTCACCTTCATTCCCTTGTGAAACGATACTATGACTTGTAGCATGTTCTCGGGTATACCGAGCTTTCGCAAAACCTTCCACAAAGCAGTCCGGTTCAGTTTCGAATGCCTTTGCGAGGTCAACAAACACCACATACATTTCCTGATTCACGAACCTTCTCAGCGACCTGTCTCGGGGAGAAGATCATGTCTATGGTGCCACGACCTGCACGAAAGCCACACTGCAACTCTGGATAGATATCATCAACTATATGCTTTATGATCCAGTTCAAAATTAATCTGGCCAAGATCTTACCAGCTACAGAAAGAAGAGAAATGCCACGGTGGCTATCGCATATCTTCCTGTTTCCTTTCTGTTTGTACAAATGGTGAATAAGTGCATCTTTAAAGTCTTGTGGGACCATTCCCTGCTTCCAAATTTGAATAAATAATTCAAGCAATTTCTCTGCAAGCTTTGTGTCACCGTACTTAAAAATTTCCGGTGGGATTGCATCTTTCCCTGGTGCTTTCCCAGACATTAACTGTCAAAACCTCCTGAAAGGTTGGTAAAAATGATAGCTCTGGTATTTCTGGGTGTTGTGGGATTGATTCAACAACACCTTCGTCAGTGGTAGATGTGTTGTTGAGAACAGTATCAAAATGTTCCTTCCACTGTTTCAAGATTTCAGCCTTGTCCGTCAAGAGGTCACCATTTGTTGAAGTAATTGGCGAGACACCGTTATCCTGTGGACCGAACACTTTCTTCATTCCTTCGTAAAATGCCTTTGAGTCCTTTCTGTCGAATGCTTCCTGAAGATGGGTAGCTTGTGCAGACCACCATGCCTCTTTCATTGTACACAGGGCTTTTTGAACTTGTGCTTTACAGCTTGTGATAAGCTTTCTTTTTGTCCGGAGAGTTTTTATCCTCAATCCAGGCTTTGTGTGAACTATGCATTTTCTGGATTAGATTCTGCACTTCTTCATTGTTCTCATTAAACCAATCCTGGTGCTTGCGAATGGGCAACCCGAGCACTTCAAGAAATGTTGAGTGGGTAGCTTCATGCAAGGATTTACAGGATGATTTGATGTCATTACTGATTTCTACAGATTCCAGTGCTTCATCAAGCTGTTCTGAGAGGAGGGGTCGCTGATCAACAGATTTCAACGACAAGGTGTTAATACACTTTGGAACAGAGGATTTTTTTTTTCACTCTTCTGCGATCTAGACGGAGTGAGGCTTTACTACGAAGCAGAGCATGATCAGAGAGATAGCAGGTGGTGTGAAAAGATCTCGTCAATTTGAATTCGCTTCGATGCCGTCTTTTTGTTATCACATAGTCAATCATGTGCCAGTCTTTGGAGCGCGGATGCATCCATGTGGTCTTACAGCAATTTTTCTGTTGAAACAATGTGTTTGTGATACACATATCAATCTCTTTGCAGAAAGAAAGAAGTCCAAGTCCATTTGAGTTCATTTGCCCAATACCATGATGACTTAAAAACCCCTTCCCAAGATTGGAAATCACTTCCCACCCGAGCATTGAAATCCCCCATAAGGATGAGAGAGAGATATATATATATATATATATATATATATATAACAAGTAAATGTAATAGAATTTCTTGCAGTATATAAAATTATTTTTTCACATCAAATATAAGTATGTATATTACCAGGTCGCACTTTTTAATTTTATTTTTAAATATTATTTAAGGAAAATTTTTGATAATGACGGCACAAAATATTTCATTTCTGATTCAGTAAATTTTTATTTTTTTATAAACTTAATAATATATAGTTTCTCATGTATGCATAAAGGACATGGGTCATTTAATGACCTACATATTCTAGCTTTTCTTAACTTTGATTTTAGTGTAGGTGTTTTATTGGGTTCTTTTAGGTGCCAGATACTTTCAGAAAGATGTTTGATTTTTATATTTATTTTTCCTAAATGAACTTTGATGTTGGTTGAACTTTTTTTTTTTTTTTTTTTTTTTAATTCATGGCTTGTGCAACCTATATATACATTATATTTTCAGGATTTTCATTCGAAGAAATATTGCATTGGTATACTAATGATTCTGTGCAACATTTATTTTGTAGAGGACAGTTATGAGGGTTTCTACAGTTACATAATATTTGTTTATCCTCATCAGTTTTTATTTTTCCATTGTCTAAAATTTTTTGGTTTTGGTATAAGTGTTTAAGATATTAGCATTATGTTTCTTAATTTTTTCTAAGTTTTCAGTACAGCTATAACTTAATTTTAGCTATAACTATTTTTATTGAAAATAGTACTTAGTTTACTTTCACTAGGAAAATGGCTGTTAATGCAGGGAATTTTTGTCCTAATTTGTTCTTTACCATTTGGTTTTATGGGGGTGTATACCAAATTATTTTTCTATGCTTTCCATTTTCCTTTTTTTATATCAGTTAATTTTGGGGTTTTGTAGCCACTATCTTTTAGAGCTTTATTATAGAAATTAATATGTTCATTGAAAATCTTGTCATTTGCTGAATTTGTACTTTTTCTTTTTCAGATAGATAAAGGTATATGCTTAATTATAGATGTGGGGGTGATTTGATTTAGGGTGTGTGTGTGTGTATATATATATATATATATATATATATATATAAATATATATATTTTATTAGTATTAATTTTTTATAAGGTGTGTATGTAATTTTCTTTAAATCTAGTGTTATATCAAGGAAGTTAACTTTTTTTAATTTAGTGCTAACTGTAATTTTTAAGCCCATCCTTTTAAATTCTTTATATAAAACCTTTTCTACTTTTATCTAGAGTTTCTAATAATTGTCTCAGTACAAACAAATGTCAGTTATATTAATATCATGGTGTGCTGTAAGGTTGTATAATATAAATAGACCTATGAGATAAGACTCAGCTGAGTTTAGTGATCCCAAAGTGGTCATATGAATTCTTTTTATATATATATATATATATATATCAAATATAGGCAGAAATGTTTAAAACACCCAGACTTTTCTGGTAATAAGTTTTCCTGTGATCTTGCTGCTAAAACATCTACATTTTTTTTCACCTTGTATAAGATGCACAAAAAATAAATCTTCAACCTGTGTGTTGAAACACTAATTTCCTGCTTAGTCTGGAATAAAACCTGATTGCAAATCAAATTGAATCATCAGTTGAACTTTATTTTTCTAAATATTGATAAATTGTTGCACAATATATTAAATGGCAGCTAACTTTGTTAGTAAGAAAGCTTGATATTCAGCCATAAAACATGTATACTTCACTTCGGTCCATTACTTAAAAAACAGGTACACACAACTTGCATAGGTCTGTAATAAAATCTGTATCTATGATGTGATTTTTTTTTTAATACATGTTTTATGTCGGAAGTATTTCTGCTGCGTGCTGCATAAGACATTAATTTGATGAAGACACTAATGTCTTACAATTATGTGGAACGAGCCTTGTCAGTTTGTAATTGATGACTGCTGGGGAATATCAGGTGCCTTAATGGATAATGTATCAGAATTGTTAATTGGAGAGCCATGTTCCAATTCCCATTGGGTTCATCATATTCACTTATGCCCAAATAATCTTGGGGAGGTGAGGGTATGAATCCACCTATGGGTTGATTACTGGGACTTGTATCTCTAAATCATTATCACAAAAAAAATAAATCCTTACAATCTGAAGATATTTTCTGCCTTTGAGTGACCTGCAAGGTGTTGATGTGCCATAGAAAACAAATCCCTCCATCAATCAATCGTCTGGGGTGGGGTATTTCTGTTACACACAGGCTTAATAGACTTTTAGCAAACAAGACTCCTCCCCCCCCCCCCATTCTGTTTGCTTTCAGGATTCTCAAAAAGAAATTTATTTCATCTTTCTGTCAGCTCATCTTCTCTTCTTCATTCACTGAATTTTCTTCCATAATTTTGGCAATCACTTCAATACTATGAACTTCAGCTTCACTCAATTTGTTCTCGGCAATTTTGCTTTCTTCAGCAGCATCTTTGACTTCTTCCTGGATTTCATAAAGAATTCGATAAGCAAAAATGCTGGCCTCTTCATCATCTGAAACCAAATTATTTAAACATTGTTTTAAAGGGAAAAAAATGGGATCTTTATCTTGTAGAAAATTCATCTCCCCCCCCCCCCCCCATATTGTTTGATCAATGGTAAGAGCACAATTGTTACCTTGTGTCAGAAAGAATAGAAAATATAAAGTAACTAAATGTTGATGTACCTGTCAATGGTCACAGCTTGGATTGCAACTGTTTTAGAACAAAAGTAAAACATTTGAAAATATAAGTAATGCATTATTTTTTAAAATTCAATCCCCATATTGTCTTTGTGCTAAGGTGGAAGGACATTAAGTGTATAACTAGGAAATTATTCTCAAGTGAATATTAGTGTAATTTATTAACTAGCTTAAAAGCTGCACTCTGTGTAAACCTTTTAAGCTAGCCCCTGGAGTGGGCTAATTTGGGCCTCTGGCTCCAAAACTTAAAGGGACCTGATAATTTTTGAAGAAATACCTTTTCAATTCTTCAAAAATCAGTCTCTGGAACTTCAAAACCTCACTTTAACTCTAATTTGAGCTATAAGTCCAATTTAGGCCAAAAATTGAATTCTTCAAATCACATACTTTGCAGAACTTCAAAACTTAGCATCATGAAACTTCTCACTTTAACTCCGATTCCTTGGCATTTGAAGAAATGATGTCGATTTCTTCAATTCAAAGTTTTAGGGATATTTTAAACAGAATTTAAAACAAATTTCTAAATTCAATATTTTTGTGTTACTTATACTCAATATAAATTAACTTTTTTTTTTTTTTTTTTTTTTTTTTTTTTTTCAGTTATTTTAAAATTTGAATTTTTAACTCTCCCCTCCTCATCTAGACACAAATTTCAATGCTGGATGTTCCATCCTGAGATCATCCTGATTCCAAAAAAGGTATATCTCTGTATAGAACAAGTGTGTTCAGACACCTGGATTGACTGACAGAATTTGCGCTTTATTTAGATAGCTTGATTCAGCAACACTGGTCATGTACAGTAACTTCCAAAAGCAATTATTGTTGAGGAACAGGGTGTGGGGATTGTTCATGGTAACTTTCCAGAGTATAGTGTGTCTTGTTTGTTTTTTTTTTTTTCTTTCCCCCCTCCACTTCCAAACCCTCTCTGAAATTGCTTTTTCAAAATGCACAATTATAATTTTGTACCCAGATAAAAATTGATCTGATCCTACACTGAATGATTACAAAAATAACTATAAAAGATTCTTTTATCATAAAATAGAGGGCAGATCTGGAGATTTTTAATCTTTTTTGTACATACAGGGTGTGATGAATAAATTGTCATCTAAACTACACAAAAATATTTTGAAATACTAAAGAGTAAATTTATTCAATAAAATCACCATTGGCTTCAACTACAGCCTCCAGATGACTTTGGAATCTCCTGCAACTCTTCTGGATGGTCTCCTTGTTTAAGTTGAGGAATGCTGCCATAATCCTTGCCTTCAGTTCATTTTTTTTTGGTCTATCACTCAACTGTGCACAACACATAATAAAGGTGATTGCAGTCTGGGGATTTAGGTGGCCAGATGTAAGGGGTAATGACTGGATTCTCCGGCATGGTGCAGAGTCCTGTTACCAGATATAGTGCTGCCCTGGGTCAAGAGGGTGGCTGCTGGAAGACCCCATCTCCTCAAGACACTTGATCTAGGTCTCTGTGTTGAGTCTGGGGCCCCCACCAACAAATCCAGAAATTTTTTCTTATCAGAGTGAATTTTCCAAGCCTCGGTACCTTTGTAATCACCATTTAGATTCAGCCAGCTCTCTCTGAATCCTCTTAGTGACACACAAACACTCTGAAATGTTCGTATTGGAGCTTCCAGCGCAAATGCCAAGCAGTACAACAAGCTGTCTCCAAATTTATGTTGGAGTGAATTGTATCCTGGTGCTCTTTTTATCACAAACTGCCCATCTGATCCTACCATACTGTGCAGTTGACAATATCAAAAACACATTTGTGAAATTAAAAATATAATAATGGTGATAATTTACCCATCACACCCTCTGTGTGTGTGTATATATATATATATATATATATATATATATATTATATATATAATATTTTATTTCAATCAGAGTGTTCAATAAGTTACATCTGGTTCTATTCTCAGGGATTCTTGATCTTTAGCTTACCACAGTGCCACATAAATGTAAGATTCTTGTGAAAAAAACAGCTGTTTTGAGTCTCTCCACTCTTAAGAACTTATTGGGATATTAATTTCATAAAATAGAAAAAAACTAAGTATAATTTAGGTAATGGAATCATTTGACCTGTTTACATCAATTCACAAGGAAATGTGGCCAAGAGTTTGAAAATAGAAAATTTCACATTTATTCAATGGAAATACAAATTAAATACACTTTTTTTTTTTTTTTTTTTTTTTTTAAAACCTAAACAAAAAAAACCCCATCTCCAACTTTACTGCATCCATTACACTCTTATTACGTTTGAGATCTAAATTCTCATTAAAATAGACATGCTTTGGCAGCACCCATCTCCTCTACAATTAAAATGTGATGGGTTATACTAGATTACATGATACCAGATGCAAAAAAAAAAAAAAAAACTTATCTCTGACCTGTTGCCAAATACCAAAGTTGAATTACCTTTACATGGTTAAATAGCTTAACCTGTCCTGCTATTTACCTGGATAGTAGAAGTGGATTCATGCCTTTCCCAAGGACATTTTGACAATGAATACACCCCCACCCACCTCAGCCAGTGCTTGAACATAATTTTCCAAATTAGGCCAGTTACATACACAAACATCTTTAAAAGTTAATTTTCATACCAAGACTTACCTGCCATGAAAGCAACTTCAGACACTTGTTTCAAAAGTTTCTCTGTACTGGCAAAAACCAACATCAGTTTCTAGAAAAGAATAGTTTGGGAAGAATTAGCTTTTTAGTACCAAGATCTTGGTTCAATGAAACAATGCTTACCTAGAGAATGGCAAAATGTCTTCCTAATAAATGATTGCCTTATCAATTTTTTTTTTTTTTTGTTGTTGCCTCAACAGGACTTGAAACAAAATAAAAATCCAGAAAGACACTTGATACTGATTCGATATAGCTTCCTTTAACATTCTGGGGGAATTTTTTGTTTGCAAACCAAAAATGTTATCTTGCCACTGCAAGTGACTCGAATGTTAGCGTGTTTGAATTTTGTGTTGTCATATCCTGCTATGGCAACAGAAAATGACCATGACTGAAATTTAGTACAGTAGAAGAGCCTTGAAAACCAATGCAGTGAATAATGCAGTGTCAAAGGTTAATTGAACCATTTACTTTCTTCTGAGCCAATCATGCTTTTAATTTTAATAGATCATTTGGAAGAAGTGACTTTACACAAATGTGGAAGGTTTAACAATGGTTTATGGGATCACTGTTCCATGTTTATTTTAAGCAATGTTCTGGCAGCAAAATTACTTGCAGGGTCTTATCAAATTGATCAAGACAAATATCTTGACTTAATATTTAAGTCATTTGCTGAGAAATGTTTGTTAATGTAACTTTGCGGTATGATGGTGATTGTATTGATCAAAACACTATTCCCAAAAAAAAATCAATAGTCCAAACAAATTGTACAAAAAGTATAATCAACAGAAAACTTTTCTTGATCTCTTCTATCCTCTCCAAAACAAGCTGCCACTACCGCCACTCCAATAAGCATCAGTTTAATATTATAGAACAATACTATGAGACAAAAACTGCACCCCCCCACGCAAATTTTGCAGCATTTTTTGTGCTTTTCTAAATGAGGCATTCAACGAATTTCTAACATCCATAGCGCCAAGGATATTGCATGTGCAGATTTGAAACTTTGTGACATTTACTGGATATTACAAAAAATATAAACTTAGGCATCTCTTTATATTTATAAGGACCTGAAAATGGCCAAAATGCAAAAAGACTGTCAAATACAGCAACCAGATTAGTTTACTTGTTACTTAATAGGTTATTTCTACAGTCACCATACTCTTTACTGGTATAAAGAATGTCAGTATTACCATTTGAAAATTGGTCAATTTTTAACAACCTTAAAATTGCTTATTTTGTGATATCAATAGACCAGTTAAGCAGTTTAAGAAAATTTTTACCATATATATCAGAAGACCATGTGGTGGATGTTTCATTTTGCAGACAGATTTCTAGCTAGGGTTAAAAAAAAATTTTCTAGAACAACTTCTGGCAAAAGAATGGTTTTGTCAATTTTGGCATCTCAAATTTGATACTTTAAAAAAAGAATATGATGCTGAAAGTTTGTATCCGTATATAATCTTATATTTTTTGGTTTCATTTTACCTTTGTTCCAAATAGTTTAGATGCTATGGGACCTTGAGAACTTTTTATGATCTACACAATTTTTAATTGAACAAGGAATCAATGGACCTTAAAATAAGGATTCCACATGTAATCAATCCTGACTTCACTTACTTTCTCACCAATGTGACATTGCTCTCTTCTGCAAATATTTTCATGGCAACTGCCTCTGACAAGCTTTTAGTCCTTGGTGATCCGACTACATGAATTTAAACATGTTACTCAATTGGCATCTATGTCCCACCCATTTACTGTTGGAATAGCTAAATGCAACTGCCATTTCTATTCCAACAGTTTCTTTTCTCATACTTCCCACCTGTGGAACTCCTTTCTATTTCCTTGCTTCCCTGATAACTATAATCTTCAAAAATTTAAATGCAATATCAATCATTATCTTCAGTCTTCTTGAATCCAGTTCATCTTTTGTCCTTTCCTCAATTCTCCCTATTCTCAGTCTTCTCTTTCATTTTCGCTCCCTGCAACCCCCTATATACTAGTGGCATTCCTACCTTGCTTGATTGAATATATTGAATTTTAAATACACCAAGTCAAAATAGTGAAAATGCATCAAAATTTGTCCAGGTTAAGTCATTTTATTGATACGCTAAAATATACATAAATCAGGATCCTGAGTAAGGCAAAATCCCATTAATGATATTTTTCAAGGAAATAAATATTTAGGGTGAGTGATAAATCAATAGTTTCAGTTATGTCAGCATTTTAACTTGAAGCTTTTAATATTACAATGGATTCAAAATTAATGCCTCAATGATTGATGATTAAAAAAAGTAAAAATCTCCTGTATTCATTTGATGTATCACTTCATCTAAAAACATTAAAAGCTATTTTGCTGCTTCTAACAAAAACAAAAAAAACATACTTCATACTTATCTACATATAAAATCCTGTGACTTCTGTCTGTCTGTCACACCCTCTAAAATAACCATACATTGACTGATCAAATCCAAATTTTGAGAAGTGCAAACAGGTAAGGGGTTACAAAGTACAGTTGGTTTTACGAGAGTGCATAGCTTAGTATAATAAATTTTCATTAATTTTTTGTTTTTGAAAAATTAAATTTTATTATTTAATGTACAAAATAGTCCCATTATTTTCAAAACAATGATTAAAATAACATACTTATTTAATAAAAATTGAATATTGTTTTTTTGCCTATTTTTTCTTTAAATTTTTATATACAAGAATCCAGTTTCCATTTTGCCCTGCATTTGTGAGAACTATAAACAAATCACACAGCCAAACACTTCAAAAACTCAGAATTTGGCTCCAGAAAGAAATATTTATGCATGGCCAGTTGTATGTTGCAAGAAATACTAAGAATTTATTCTTTACTGTTAAAAAAGGGAAAAAAAAAATTTCTTAAATATGAAGTCCTATAAAATAAAATTAAAGAAATTATTAAACTATAAAATAGGGTTTTTATCAAAATATTTTTCCAAACAAATCAGCTTATTCAAATTTCATCGATTGATTTGCAAAATTGAACGAAATGAAGAATTTGTAAATCACAACAAAAATGTTAGATATTGGATAACTTCAACAATACTAAATACTGTGATGATTTCAACACGTGTTAGTATGTTGCAAAAAAAAAAAAAAAAAAATTCTAGTTCAGTTAATATCAAATTTTACATACTCCTTCAAAGCCAAATACCAGTGAGGTAAAATGTAGAAAAATGATTCAAATAAAATAGTCTGGTGTAAAAGACAAACCCAGATCCTAAAAGCCTTTTTTAAAAGAACCTATTTTTCATATCCAATAAAAATAAAGAAGACACAAAAATTTTTCACACCTCCATCATAATTTCTACCGCCCACTAACCTAACATTATGTATTCGTATGGATAGGCCACACGTCACCAATTGTAAAGGTGGGATTGTAGATGGACCAATACTATTTATATTAACAATATTTCCAACGTACAGGATTCAAGTAAACAACAATAACTCCAAATTGTTAATCAACAAATATATATTGAAATAACATACAAGAACAAACATGCAATAAAATTGTGTTCAATGTATAGATTAAGGGAAAGAAGTTGTTCCCCTTTAATTGTAGATTGATTTGTAATTGATTGTTCGAAGAAAGTTCTCTTGAGAAAAATGTTCAGAAATCAATATTAGAGCAAAGTTTGCATGTTAAGAATAAATAACAAGAATACAATTAATTAAAAATGTGTTGTGTTATAGAATGGTTGGAATCGGTAGAGTTCTGGTTGATTGAACTTGGCAAAGTCAGAGAGAGAAATGTAAATTATATTACGAAATTCTGTGTGTGTGTTTGAAATGTGACGAGTAAGATCGTGGATTTGTGCTGACGACTGGGATTTTACTGACGACTTGTGAAAAGTTGCCTCTTTTAAGGAAAAAAGGTAGGCTCCCACGGAAACACGGGAAAACTTAATCTTGCACTAAAATATGTGATTAGTTAAACATTAACCAATCACTACATTCATACTGACAACAAGCAAGCAAGCTCAAAACCGAAGGATTCAAAGAAACGACTGCGATGGCTAAATTGTCCTATATAAAATTAGTAGTGATTTATTAGCCAATCACAGGCGAATAAAATGTGTGCGTGGAAAAACATAGCAACTGCTACAAGTGGATAAACATGTTTGAGTAGATGCCTTGTTTATATTATTTTTTTTTTTTTTTTATAAACCATGTGAATTACATTTATTGGCCTGATATAAAGCGTGCCAGATTACTTGTTTCCCCTATGAAGGAGGACGTAGGTTCAAGCCTTGCCAGGGTGTCATGTTTTCTTTATTAAAATTCTCAAATACACAGGCTGGTAAATGTGATTCACACCGTTTAGAAATAAAATTAAAAAAAAACATGATACCTTCTAAAACACAATCTTTAGAGTAATTTTTCATCTTTCTTCATATAGAATCCTATTTTACATTCATTTGAAAGATTCTGTCAAAACACGTGAAATTAAGTTGAGAAAGATGTGACTTTGTAGCTATTGCCAATAAAAGTGTTTGGGCTGAATTAAAAAAGTTTCTAAATGCCATAAAAATGATGGCTTTAGAATACAAATAATAAACATTTCCAGACAGTAACCGGCTTTATGATCAATGCCATAAAAATAAAAATTAGCTTTATGCATGCCCATGTAGTATGGGAAGAAGTGGTTTTATCTTATTCTCAAATATTTCTGTTTGATAGACCAGTGGGTGGTTTCTTTTGAAGTTTGGTCTTCTAAAAGGGTATCCACTTTAACTGAAAGGGAATAGGAAGTAAAGGGATTTTCAGAGATCAAGTGGCAACAAAACCAAAAATAGGGTAGATCCAGGTGCTGGTGCTTTGGATCAGGGAGAGTTCTGGTTCACACCGGGTGGAAGATGGACATGCCCATGTTGCGGTTCCAATGCCTTTGTTTTGTATTGCCAGCCACCTTGTCATACAGTGGTTGTATCCTAAATTTCCAGGAACCGGTTCTATAAAGGAAGGTAATCTTTAGGAACCTATTCTGCTTATTTTCTTTTCAATCTGAGAATAGAAACAAATCACTTTATATAGTATCAAAAAGAATTAAACCATTTTGATAATTTAATAGAAAACATTTATTTATTAAGATATTTCTAGATTGAAATTCTGTTCTCATCATATTTCTGTTCAAAAGTCTGATGCTTTTTGACTCTAGGGTCATCAGCTGTGTTACGGTTTCTTAGCCACATTCAAACTAAATTGCTGCAGTCCCAAAAATCCAATAAAAGACCTATCAAATTTATGACAAGAAGATCTGCCACTTACTTTTTTCTTAACTAAGCACACAAGCATAACATAACTAACAATTTACTGAGACCATTGGCTTTTAAGATTATTTTCAGATAATCCAACAACATGTATACTAAGTTTTTATCATTTTAAGAATGGTTTTGTCTGAACCAATAGAATGCCACCACTGACTAAATGTGACACTATGTAGCTATGGTGATTGGCTAACTAATTAACCTTAAAAATTAAACAAGGAAATGCTGGAAACGGAGAAGGATAGCCCAAAAGATATACTGTTCGATATTAAAAAGATTTTATTTCTGAAAAAAGTTACTTTTCACAAGAGACAATAGACCTGTAGAAAAGCCATATGTGAGATTTTGACACATTGATTAATGTAAAGAAATGCCTTGCTGAGGGAAACATGAGAATTCAAAAAAAAAGTCGGAGGAAAGCTTGGGCAATTCACATGGTATGTATTGTTAAATTATATACAAAAGAAATTCATTTAACCAATGAATAAATTTATGAAATTTACCTTTCTTTTTTCATTGGCTTCTTTAATTTGCAATCTTGTATCAATAATTAAGGACCAGATTCTTTCTTCTTTCTCTGCATTTCCTTCAGCAAGATTGTCAAGGCTTGCAGAGTGGAAAGCAATTAATTTGTAAATATTCTGAAAAACATGATAGAAATCTTTATATTAGCAAACTTTGATAACATGTATTTTTCTCATGCATTTTTTCAAATACAATATCGAGCTAGAAAACCATTTTCAAACATTTGGTGTATGTACAGCTTAACAATGAATCAGAGAGGACCTTACTGCGCATGAGGACAGATTGATTTTGGAACTGTGACATTACACTCAATTTGAAAGTTGAGGTTTGACATGATAAATAATCACAAAATATTTTTCTACAAATCATTACTGTTTTTTGAGAAAATGAGCTTAAAAGGTTAAGTTTAGGTCTTTAGCACATTATTACTAAATCATTCCAACAGATAAGACCTTCATTTATTTCAAAGGCAAATTATACTGAACAATTTAGCTATATTATGATGTATTATGTTATACAGTGTAGTAGATTTAGTGTGATTTTCATTAAACAATGCAAATTTATAACATTTTGTCTTAGAATTTGTACCTAGCAGTATTATACTGTTATATACACTTTTATCTATTTTTTGGTTTTATTAATTATGATCTAACAAATGATGTAACAAATCTTATTCACCAAGTAGCCTTTTTTCTAATCTTTTACAATTTTTTTTACACATTTTCAACTGCAGTAAAAAAAAAATTACATATTTTGCTTGTGGTGATTCATAATCAGCAACCACATCACCTCTTACATCTGCAACCCCATTGATTATTATGTGTGGGACAAAGTTGAACAAGAGACCAACAAAACTCCTTGTAACACCAAAAATGAACTGAAGGCAAGGATTATGACAGTGTTCACCATCTTAAGCAAGGAGACTATCAAGAAGAGATGCAGGAGATTCCAAAGTCGTCTGGAGGCCATGGTTGAAGCCAATGGCGATTTTATTGAATAAATTTATGCTTTAGTATTTCAAGATATTTTTGTGCAATTTTGGTAAATATATCTTAAAATGAGATGTCAGTATTATTTTCATATTTCCGCAATTTAGATGACAATTTATTCATCGCACCCAGTAAATAAAAAGTTCTGGAACTGAATGATTTTGATAGCAATCACCATGACATTATCTATGAATAATTTTCTATATTTACTTTATTCATACTTTTTTGCAACTTGATATCTGCTTAAAAATTATGCAAAAAATAAGAAATTAATAAAAAAAAAAAAAAAATAGGACCCAAATTTCATTAAAAAAACCTTCTGAAAACAAGTTAACAGAATCGGAAAGAGATGTTGAAATCTCTGAGACACAATGAAAAAAGAAGGCTTGGAGAATTTGACACTCACGCAACATATTGACAGTAGGAGTAGTAAAGGTAAACAGTGAGAAAACCTACTAAAGCTTGTGTAAATGAATAGCAGAACAGGCAGTTTGAGATAGTAAGAGTTACAGAAGGAGGAAGTCGTGGAGAGCCATGATCGCCTCCGTCCTGAAGAAATATGAAACATAAAAGAAATCCAAAATGTTTAATTACCTTTTTCTTTTCTTTTTTTAAAGTTCCCAAAATGATTTTTATGTCAGCTTTCCTAATGCAATTTGTTTATTGCAATTGTTATGTTCTATTTAAGAAACTTGCAGAAACTTTGTTTCTTTGTAAGGAATTTCAGAATGTGTAACATTTAATTCTTCTTTAGGGTGCCATTCTATCTCCCCAATGAACTGATGAAGATGTCTACATGACTTTACCTGGAGATTGAATACACAACCTCCAGAGAAGTGTGAAATATGCCAACCTTGTAGGAAATTGGTTAAAATAAAAAGCATCAGTTTTTCTGTCGCTTAGATACTTAGTTAGCTCATGTGTTAAGCCTTACCATTACTTCATAAATAATGAAGCATTCCTTTTTGATCAAGTGGAAAGACGGAAAAGACATATTAGAGATGCTACTTGGTTTCAGTGAGATGATATAAAAAAGAAAGGAAATGGAAAAAAATTGTCAATTTCAAAACATTTCATTTGTATCCCCTTACTTCTTAAAATAACGACCTGCATTCAGATTTAGGATTGTCATTGCAATTGTTTGTTAAAGTTGCTAAGCTCAAATATTTAACAATATGACAGGGGAATATCTATAGATATTTTATTGTCATGGAACTCGCCATGAGCTTACTCTTATCATTAACTGTAGAATTAAGATTCATCAGAAATTCAGATAGGAAATCCGTGAAATTTTCATGGGTTAAAACTAGTATAAATTAATGATTTTCAACTTTTAAGAAATTCAGAAACAAATGAAAGAGAGAGAGAAAAAAAAAGAAGTGTTTTACGTCTCCTACTAATACCTAATAAATAATGGACTATTCCGTTTTGATAGTGTGGAATTGAGGGAAAAAAGATACTACTTGGTTTCAGTAAGAAAATAAAAGAAAGAAACGTTTAAAGTCTCCTACTAATACCTAATAAATAATAGACTATTCTGTTTTGATTGTGTAGAAAACCAAAAGACAGACTCTATTTGGTTTCAGTGAGAAAATGAAAGAAAGAAAGGAAGATTGAAGTGTTTAACGTCTGTTTCAGTGAAACAGAAAAAGTTCTTAATTTCAAATCTTTTCATTTGTACCCCCTTACTTCTTAAAATAATGACTAGCATACATATTTATGATTGTTATTGCAATATTTTGTTAAAATTGTTAAACTCAAATATTTAACAATACAACAGGGGAATTTCTATAGATATTTTATTGTTGTGAAACTCCCAACGAGTTTCTTCAATCATTAACTTAAGAATTAAGATTCATCAGAAAATTCAAATAGGAAAACTGTGGAATTTTCATGGGTCTTTCTAGTTGTTTAATATTTAAACAAACATTGTTGGTAACTATGTAAAACTTTTTTTCTATTTCTAAGCAACACCAGAAAGTCTTCCTTATTAAGAGAGCAAACCTCACCTTTGCGTATTCATTTTCTGCTTGGACCAAAGCAGAAGCTGTTTTCTGAAAAAGACCAATTGCAGCACTTGATGTCTGTGTAAACATTTCTTGGATTTCAGAAATGGTCGCTGGAGTCTCAGGAGGCTGAAAATAAAAAAAAGGATCAATTTACATATATACGATTTGTAGCACTCAGTGGAAGCATGGTGGAGTTATGGATAGCAGCTCAGATTGAAGGATCAGAAAGCTGAGTTTGAATTCCAGTTGAGTTCATTGCATTCACTTAGGAAAGGTATGAATCCATTTTTCTCCACAGCTATGGGTAAAATAGCAAGACTGATTGGCTCCTATAGACTTTGTTGGCAACCAGTTGAGGAGAAGGAAAACTGAATTTAAACCAGCCTGGAGAGGGTTGGATTCCAACAAACTGTCTTGCCAATCAAACACACCATGGCTGCTCTGGCAGTGGTAAAATGGGATTTAGGATTATGAGTACTGAAAGTCTGGATCATTATGCATTGTCCTTTTTACCAATGTCCAGTTCTTTATTTACCTTCAGACTAATGTTCTCATTTTTATTATTATCACATTTCAGCCATTGTATTCCTCTGGTCGTCTTCTTCTGTCTTTTGTTGTACAGCTTGCCAACTCTTTATCATGTTGCATAAAAAAAAAATGGTTATTTCCAGCCAAAAGAAATAAGAACATTAATTAGTTGCTCACCATAATGAGACTGACCACAATTCTGATCTAAAAAATGCTGCTCTAAAAGAGAAAACAATTCACTAGGATGAAAATGTTTAGAAAGTCCTTTAATCAATAGATCAACCACAATTATTTTGCATCCAGGTTCTTACAACATTTCACCTTTCTTGGCAGATCTTCTATTATCACAATGTGGGATATTTAATAACATAAACAAAAAAAAAGTATCTAAATGAAATCAGCAAGATCATATACCCAAAACATATATACATGTCTACAATGCCTTCATTTTTCAGTTCAATAGAAATGAATTGATGGTTACATGTAGGCATTAAAATAAATATCTGCTTAAATACGTTGATCCAGATTAATTTTTAATATAAATTAGTTTATTTTTAATGTAAATTATGGTTTGTTTTCGTTTTTTTATAAAAAAGAACAAGTAATCTCCCTTTAATAAAAAAATTAATATTCACAACTCTAAAAACAATTTTTTTTTTACATATATCTACAAATTCTGTTTATTTTAAATGTCAAATATAATTTTTTAAATTAGAATCTATAATCCCAGTATAATATATAACTGCACCAACATTGCAATAACCAGACATATTATTAAAAATTTAAATTACATAATGGCCAGTTTATACTCAGCACCTGAAGATTGTGTTGTGCAAGAAACTCCAAGTCATGCTATTGGTGAGGGATAATATGTATATTTATTAATCTATAATAAATCCTAAGGAGCCAGGCATACCTACCTAGGTTTCATGTAAATGGATCTTCAGGGTAAATTGGCTAAAAAAGGAAATGACAGAACAGTATTTATTGATAAAAACATTAAAAACTAATAAGCATTAAAACCATGTGACAGAAGAAAAAACAAAAAACAACCCAAAATCCCTGCCCACTTGAGGGCAGGTGCCAACAGGAGTGTGTGGTTTACAAAGTCAAAATACATAGAAATAAACCGAATAATACTGATAAGAACCCCAAAGTTTACATAGGATCAACCCAGAATAGCTTCAAAATGTTACTAAAACCAAGTAGCTTTAATCATAAAACCTATAAACATAGTACCAGCCATACATATGGAATATAAATTAAGAAGATAATAGTGACCCCTTTTTGAAATGGGAAATATTAAAAAAATGCCATAAATATAAGGCAGGTGACAGGTTTTGTTCGTCATGTATGGAAGAAACATTAGTTATCGCAACCTATAAGGCACCTAAAAATTTATTAAATCAAAGATCAGAGATTCTTAATAAGTATAGGCATAGAAAAGTTTGGTTATTAGAATAGGGGTTTTGGGTTAATGTTTTTTTTTCTTCTTCTGTCATATGGTTTTAATGCTTATTAGTTTTTAATGTTTTTAATGTTTTTATCAATAAATACTGTTCCATCATTTCCTTTTTTAGCCAGTTTACCCTGAAGATCTGTTTACATAAAACCTAGGTAGGTTTGCCTGCCTCCTTAGGATTTATTCTAGTTTATCACTCTACTTAGCGTATTGAGCACCTTACGTTTTAGTCTTTCTATTCGTTTGGGGTTTTTTTTCTTTAGACTAAGGACTTAAAGCGACTTGGTGATTTGTTTCATCATGTTCTGATGGTTTTAGTTCTTCCTTTTTTTATTTCCAATTTTTTCCTCAGATACCGATTTGTCCTGACATATCTGCAAGCTGAGCTATCCAAGGTTTTCCAAACAAGTACTACTATTAATATATTTATTAATTTATATATATATATATATATATGAGAGAGAGAGGTTGTCAAGATTTTGTTTATATCAGAATATTTGAGGAGGAAGTGTTGTTATTATATGCATTAATATTCAGACATGCTCATCTTAGCTGTTATAATGACAATGTTTCAACCATTGAAATCTTCCGCCTTTTTCAGAAATTTTGTATTGTAGCTACTAACCTTCTTGGAATTTCAAATTGAAACCTTTATTTAATCTACAGGGGTAGATTGTTCTCATTCTGGTTTCCATGCTAAGGGGAGATAATGCATACTAGTTTGTATGGATTAGTTTTATTCAACTTTGTGTCTGTCTGCTTCTTCCACTGAAACAGAGTATATAACTTTTCAGCACTAACAGACCCAGCGATTGAACTCATAACCAACAGGGAACCAGTTAAGTAATGCTTTAATCCACTAGGTCATGTGTCTCTTGTAAAATTAAAACAATCTAACCCCATCAAGTGAATAAAGGCCTCAAAATGTAGATGATGACAGACAACTGAAGAAGACCAGAAAGTTGAATGAGTGAAATGTTGCAAGTATAACAGCCAAGATGAAAATGCTGCTCAAAATAGCAAAACCGGCACCTGAAGACGGTCGGAGTATACAATGGTCAAAATATTGTCACCATAACAACCAAGACTGAGTCAAACTACTCTCATTCTCTTTGTATTCCTTTAGTAATGGGCAAGTTCCACTTGGATAACTTCTTCTCAAGAATTGTTGCTTTGTGGGACAGAATACTAAAGGGATGCTTTCCCAACCTCTTCAAGTCCAGGGTTAACCGTTATCTCCCACACATATCTATATAAACTGTGCTCCTTACTATTACAACTCACACAACAACCACCTTCATCAACCCTCTGCTTTGAGTGGCTCTTGGGCCTTGTATAAAGCAAACATTAGTAAATAATGAATTTCATGTATTAGATTCAACACTGTTATCTACCATAAACAATCTATTATTGTCATAAAACTTTTTAGAGAGAAGTTTATATTTATCTTGTGTTTTAGAATTTTTTTTTCAATCAATATCACCCCCTGCAAAGCAGTAATGCCACTGTGACACAAGGGGTGTTGAAGAATTAGGAACAGAAAGATTAATTATGAGCAGGAAGAGGAAAGAGTAAGCAGGAGGACAGTAGATAACAACTGACATTACATTTAAATTTTTGCAGATTAAAGTTGGCTGGAATGCATGGAGCCAGGTCCACTGGGCTTAGGGTGGAAAGATATATGAGACTGGCTATGGAAGCAACACTAAGACAACACATCATGTGGAAAACTCACAACGTATTTATTTTTAAATCTGTAATCCTTTAAAATGTCATTTACAAATTTAAAAGAATTCGCTTGTGAGTAATCCTACACAAATACAGTGTGCTTTTTCAATTATTTGGTCATTGGTTATATGATCTGTTAACAGTTTAAAGGATTTGAGTTCTGTGACATATCTGACAAACTTCTCACATACACAGCTCAAACAGAGCTAGAAGGGAGTTCCACAAGCGAGAAGTACAAGAAAAGAAACTGTCAGCATAGAATTTATGGCTACATCTAGTCAGGTCAACTGTAAATCAATGAGATCTCAACGACAGTCTATTACAGCACTTAAATTAAAAAAGTTTAGATACCATAGCAAAGAGGTCATCTGAACAATTAGCAATATTCTAAGCATGGCTGAATGGTAGACATATAGATATGCAAGATAGATTCTGGAGAGAAAAATTGTCTCACATGACACAGTGAACCAACTAGCAATGGATTCAACGTAGTCTTTCCATTTCATATCAGCCAAGAACATTAGCCTGAAAAGATGCAATATATAGGTAGAAAGATGTACACTGCAAGTAATTTCTTGTGATTCATCAAACTGGAGTAGCTTCCTCTTATTTATTCAATTTATCTGTACACAATAAAAGATCCCAAAAAAGTATTTAATTCAACCAAGATTTCAAACTACTAACATAACATCAATGAAATGTTTTTTTTCATTTTTATATATTTTCAAACCAAGCTTTAAATTGTTTCAATTGACAAGAAGCATATTTTTTTAAATTAATGTTCACCCAATACAAGGTTCAAGAGCCACTCAATGTAGAGGGTTACTCTGTGGTGCTGTATAAGCATAAGAAAGGGCAAAAAGTGAAGTTCATGGGGCTACGCAGGAAAGTTAACAGTTAACTCTAGACTTGAATTGGTCAAAATTGTTGTGAGAACAGACTTTACAAGAAACCACAAACCCAATCCTAAACAGGGAACAAGGGATAAACCTCTACTCCTGTTCAAAATACAGGGAAGAGTGTGATCCTCCATTTGACTATTTTTTCACTCATTTTTGTTACTTTGCAATGCAGCAATATGATTACACTTTGATGATGTCTGTTGCCTAATTAGTAATCCTGGTGAGAGAGGCTCTTAAGAATTAAGGATAAGAGTTCAAATCCCACTGAAAGCTTATTATTTATTCACATGTTGTTTGTTTAAATGGTCATAGAATGTAAAAACAATTGCAACAAAAAATAAATTGAAAGAAAAATAAATCTTCATAATTTCTGCATTGCTACTGTCTTTAAAAGATTTTCTCTTTTTTATTAGTAAGTATTCACTCAGTGGAAGGTTCAAGAGCCACTCAAGTTAGAGGTTTGCTGAATGAGGTGTGTGATATGAATGCAAGAGGAGGATAGGTAACTTGACTTGAAGATGTTAAGATTGTAGCATTCAGAAGCGGATCTGTAGAGATGTGTAACTCGTTGGAAAAATCAACCAAAACCAGAATCGATAATTTTGTTCATTCTCCGATGATGTGATCATTGTAATTAACCAGAGCTGAAATGTGACCAGCTGTTGACCTGAGATGGCTAGACCATCTTGCTACATTTGAAAATATATATATATATATATATATACTTTCCTTTACCCACATTGTTAAGCAGAAAGCTACTGCTATTTTGAAATAGAACTGAAATTTAAGTTCAATGAAGGCATAACTGTTTTTCGGGGTTATTTTTTAGAAAGTTCGTTAAGAAAGTAGAAATTTTCTTTTTAGATACAATTCTGCATCATTACATTTGCAAAAGACAAACTAGTTCTTTCCATCCGTCTGACTTGTTACCAGAAAGAATTCGTTTATTAATCAAGATTTTTTTAACTATTGACTTCATTTTTTTATACACGAATGGGACGATCAAATTTTTTTTTTACCTCTCTATGGTGCATGACCTCTCACAATATAAACAAATTCCCTGATGACTTACCGAAATTTCTGTATCATCTTCACAATCAATGACTAGAGGTGGAGTTGTATTGTTATTATTAGCATTATAGCAGTAAGCCACGCTGGGGAAAAGACTTAACCCAACTGCCCAATGGACCGGTGTGGGCCTTAAAATCGGAAGACTACACCGCAGTCTCCTTAATGAGCGTAAACACCGGCAGATCATAGCCATGCTTTTCTTGTCCGGCTGAAAACATAATAATTTATAAAACAGTATAATGTTTCGTATTAAAAAGAAAGATAATATAAAATAATTTAGGCACGTTTTAAAATGTCTTTTTCTAATACATTCAATAATTTGCGTGTTATTTTATTTGTTTCTGCTTTTAGTATTAAAGAACCAATTTTCATTTACGAAAATATAAATGTTGGCTCAATTGATTAGCGGCTTCTGAAAAAGCAGTCGAGCAATATGGCGGTCTATAGTCACATGTGTTATGTTTGGGTATTTCTATTATTATTATTATCTCCCGTACAACTACCCGGAGTGTCTACAAGTAGTACTGATGAGGAATTACCGAGAATAGGTTTGATTTATTCTTTTAATCACGGAAAAAAACATTTAGGATTTTGTTTCTTCTTTTCAGTGTCTCTTTTTTTTTTTTTTTTAATTTTGACAAGTACTGTTCTTACTCACACGTCAACAGCAATGACATATTTTGAAAAGTTAAGGAGACATACGTTTTTAATAGAATATGATAAGAAATTAATCTTTGAAAAATAAAAATACAACTTAAAATAATTGGCATATTGAAATTATATTAGAATTAAATCTTTAAAAAAAATCTTTGCTCGGAATTACCTCCGTAGGTCGAAGATAAATGCAAATCAAATCATTTATTTATGATATGGAATAAACTTGTTTTAAAAATCCATTACTTGTTTTAAAATACGTTTCCTTTGAAAAAGAAAATGCATAACATTCACTAATTGTGCTGAATTCATGAGAGGAGAAAATACTTTTGCACTAGTGATTTTGTTTTGTTTTCGTTTTTTTTTTTTTTTCACACAATGTTAAATTATCAATTGAATTGAAATCCTTTCAAACATATTTTAATTTACGTTTGGTTTACTTTTTACAAACTCCATAATTTCCATTCTAATTGAAAATCAGTTTTAAGCGAAAAACAAGCTGCGATCTCTCACACACACACAAACAAAATAAAATTCTTTTTTAAATAATCCTGATCTTTTTTAGAGACTAAATGCAAAAGTTCTGGTATTTTTTTTTTACGTTGAAAACAATTGGAAATATTTTCTTATACGTATGCTGATAATTTCCAACTAAAGTAGAGTTTTACTTTTCGATAATGCATTCCTTACGACCACCTTTTACATTTATAAGACTTGTTTTAACTTTGATTTGAATTGTGACCAATGTTAATTTTTTTTTTTTTACTTTTACTTTTTATTTATGAAAGCAATTTGACAGAAAAATGATAAAAGAATTTAAATTTTACTTTTTTTTTCTAAATGTGATTTTTTAATTCTTAAATTTAAGTTTTTATTTATTTTACATTTAAATTTTAAAAACATTTTTATTTATTTATTTATTTATTTATTACTTTTCCGCTACATTACAATCTTTTTTTCCCTCGGCGACAATATTTCGATGAATGCTTTTTGGTTCTTAAAAAAATTATAAATTACAAAAATAGAATTATTTAAATTTTAGTTTTCAGATTAAATGTTCATTTTGATCCCTTTAAATCCCCCAATTTACATCCCTATGATAATTTAGGCAAGTAATAGGACAATCTTTTTTCTTTCTCTCTAGTCTAGATAGTAACATCTTGTTTGGTTTGGCGCGGTTAAAAAAAAATGACACCACCTGTTGTAATTTGCTGTCTATCAAAAGAAAATAAATTGCATTTCTTTAAAAAAAAAAAAAAAATAAATGTATATTTCATGATTTTTTTTATTATCTATTATTTGATATGGGGAAAATTGTCGATCAAATTCTCTCTGGTTTATTCACGCGATTAATAAACCCACTTTCTTCATTGATTAAATTTTATTTCACTTCCGCCTTCTTCGATCTTCATGTTTCAGTTTCAGACACTTTTTTTTTTTTTGTACAATCTGACAAGTCGAATGATTATCTTTTTAAAAATCCAGTAATTATTCGTAAAAAAAAAAGAAACGGCTGTGTGTCCTTTAAAATTGCATTTTTGCCATATGACTTTTTTTTCTTTAATTACTACAAAATTGTGTCAATGTTTCCGCATGGGGAATTATAGGACCTGTCAAAAAATGTCTTACCAGAAACTTTCATTACAATAAAAAAAAAAACCGTTAAAGTTAAGTAGAGCGAGAAATATTTTTTCTCTCACTGTCTCTCTTCTTCGGAAGAAGACTGTAGAGTTTCTGTTTAACATTTATTTATGCGAAATTTGCGCGGTGTGGTTTGTAAAACAAAAGCAAATCAGGTTTTACACACCGTCTCACAGAAGAGATCAAAAAACTTTGTTGAATAAAGAAGAGTAAAAATCTTTTATGACCCCCATCATGCGTCGGAGATGACGGTGAGTCCATTTATTAAATAAGTAAGAACAAAATTAAAGTTTCCACTCCATCAATCACCAAACGAATACGGCATTTATTTAACCGGTATATAAGATTTATAATTTAACTTTTACATTTTATGAATGAGTATTGAGAGACTAAAAACATGAAGAAAAAACTTAAACCGCAAATAATTTTTCTTCTTAATAATTCAACGCACAAAGAATATAAAAATCCACTGGCTCAATAAATGACTTGCACGATCGAAACTTTCATATTTTATTTTAATTTTCATATTACATTTCATTTTATCTTTGTAAATAAATTATTGCTTATTGAATACCTGGGGAATTGATTGCTAAATATGGCGAATAAATAAGATTAAGTTTAAGTGGGAACTGGATACAGGATACAGTAGTGATGAAAATACTTCTTGGCTCAACTAAGAAATGCTAAAAAGCAGCTAAAAATCTTTTCAAAAAGAAAATTCTGATTTGGTCAGATGTTAGGAAGTGAATTGAGCCAAGAACCTGGGTTCTCTTTTCTGTATAAAGCAGTGACTTGGCACAAAAAGGCAAGAATTTAAAAAGAATGACATTTCTCACTGTCCCTAAATTTATCCTTTCAATTTTCCCATGAGAAGCAAATGACATGTCATCAAACCTGGCTTTAAAAAATTCCTTTATGCTTAGCTTATTCTATACAATGTACTTGCTGAGTTAGTCATATTCAATAAACATAAGCAAGGTTTTTTTTTTTTTCTTATTTAAACTGTCCTGTAAAAAAGAAAAAAAATCTTTCCAGTTTGATTTAAGAAGAGTATTGAAAACTTGTAATATTATGTGAAAAAATGTCTGATAAGAATAAAATCTTCATTATATTTTATTTCAAACTTTTATGGTAGGTTTGTACTATTTTTCATAATTTAGTATTTCATTTTTAAGATGAGTAAAACACAATCTACAGATGTCCCATATCAACCAAACAGTGGATATTTGATGGTGGACAGAACATACTTAGCTAAAGTTTTGTGTTTATAATAACAGAAAAAGATGAGGACAATAGTTTGGAATAATTAAAATATACTGACAATTACTCATCTCAAAAATGAAATACGAAATGTTAAGTTTCTCAAACATAAAATAACTTTTGGTACCTGTGGATTATCTGTCATCACTTTTTAAATTTATTTTTCAACTTTTTCACAAATATAGACGTGAAAAAATATATTATCCCAAAAATTCATTTAGCAGTTTATAAAAAAAAAAAAAGAAGACAATTAAAAATCATTTTAAATACCACATCTATGTTTATAAAATATCGCCAATATGTAAATGAAAAATATGGCAAAAGATAGTCCACAAGTACCATAACATTTTATTCACTTCTATCATGCTGAGATATCAATAAGTACAAAACTTACTTTGGTATCTCTTACGATGAACCCAGTACATATTGGGGTCACCACAGATCAACTCCTTTTAGCTCAAAGCTGCCTGATGGGCATTAAATTTGATTCAGATCTATGGTATTTCCTGGTGTGAATCATATACTACACATCTATATAATAAATGCAAATGTCAATGTGTAACTTTGTCGCACTCTTTCAACTTTACTCCTAGATGCCGTAGCCCAATCTATTATATCATTTTGAAAGCAGGTTGATTCTGTGAGCAAATAATAAAAACATTCTAGGTCAGATCCGCACCTACAATCCTGAAATTTTGAATTCCCAAATTTTCATTTCTGTGATTTTTTTTTTAATCTTTTTGTATGATACCAATTTTTATAATTTGGGAATAATTGAAATTAATTGCAAAATCCAGTGAAGGTCACCCATGAAGTAAAAATAATTGTACGGAAAGTAAGTGCCTATGTACATCAAAGTGTCTTTAAATTAAATGGCAGCAGAAGAATTATCATTGAACTTTTAAAACGTAAGCTTAAATATTAATGCAATGCTTGAATGCAGCAATCAATTGAGTTCTGTTGTTTATTGTTACCTATCACATCTACCCCTTTCTCCCTATAGAGATGAAGACCCAATCAAGAGCCCTCTGCAGCCCGATAAGGTGGCATTTAAGCTAGTTTATGTATAATTTTACATAAAAGATTATATTTGATGTATGAATAAAGTAGGATTTTTATCTAATTGTTCTAATTCTCTCATAATGTTTTTTTTTTTTTTTTTCATTCTTTTGCATATTTTTAGGAAGTCAAACAAATTACTTCATCTTATCTGTTCTTTGCCCTTCAGCCTATGTCTGTGACATTTGATGGTTTTCAAATGCACTTTGTACATTTTCTTCTTTCAACAAAATACAACAGTCTAACCCTGTGACTCTTATCTATTAAGCTTTGCCTAGTCTGATGCAAGATTACAAGCTGTTTCCAATGCCTGATTAGAGTGATATTCTTGTTTAGAAATTAAAAAAAAAAAATTAAAAAAGAAAAATCACATTGTATCATAAATCTTTTTCTTTTTAATGCTTTGTCACTTCAGAATGTAGCCAATCATGACTATCCCCAGATTGTGTTTTTTTTTTTTTTTTTTATTACCTGTGATCATAAATGTCATCACAAATTTCCAATAAAATAAATAAAAAAAGCATGTAACAAAAGTAACATCAATCAATCAATCCAGACACACACACATTATAT